CACCACCACACCCACACACCACCACACCCACACACCACCACACCCCACCACACCCACACACACCCACCCACCACCACACCCACACACCACCACGCCCACGCATGGGCGGGCCTCTCTACGCACAGCCGTACCCAGTTCCACCCACGTACGGGCTTGCCCGCCCACAAACGTACCGGGCGCGCTTGTTTCAAAGGCCTAACGACACGGCCGGCGACTTGTAAATATATCTATGTATATTATAAAAATTTTCGGTCTACTACTAGTACTTGTAGCTCCACCGCAAGCGACCACCTGTAGTCACGAAATGCTATCAATTGCCCACGTTCCGCGACCCCCTGCTTGGTTGTTGTTCTCCACCCAGGCCAACTTCAGGTTGTAGGTCGATGGATGTTGATGTATGCTGGAGCTCCTGTCGGGTAAGAACGATGAAAAACTATTACAAGTCTGAAGTAACTACAAAAGCAAAGTGATTCGTCATACTTTTTTTGTACTTCTACTTGCTCGTACTCAATCGTCGCTCAGCTAAGAGTTTTGATTTTTTGATGTGAGATAGAAATTTCTTTTGTACCCCTAATAAAAGTTTCATTTTGTGATTAAGCTGTCGAGCAGTAGTTCCAGTTGCACTTGGAGTAGCACTTTAATTGTTCTTGACGATGGCAATTTACTAGTAGACTTCTGATACTGATAGAAGATACAACGTTGTTGTTGTTCAAGATCATATTATGGTTGGCGCAACGTCACAAACTACCTTTGCTGCTTCTGCTCACCCTCTCAATTTGCAACCACTCGTCTTCCCTTCTTTAGTGTATAATCTTCTTTCCGCTCAAGGATCTAGGGCTGTGATCTCTCAGTCTCATTTGCTCATCGGCGTATGTTCATTCCAGCCCACCGCCTCAATTTTTTTTCTACTCTTAACATCATAACTGTTGCACATGAATCGCTTGAGAACACGGAGGACACCCGTTCTCGTCATGTTTCTCAAGGTAGATCTCTTCAACCTCGGTGAAGATTGACGTTGAAGAGAGGAAGATCTAATTTCATACATCTATTTAATAGCACTACCGCTGGAGGACTTATGTAAAACTAAATGTAGAAGTATCCATATAATTTTTAGCGATAATTTTTTAACAGTCTGCGGATCTAATCATGGAGATTTTCATCTGTTGTAGTAACCAAGAGATGCGTCTTAATTGTCACTGGTCATTTTTGATTGTGCAGCTCGTCGGGTGCACTTGATGGTGTAGTTTTTGACAACTGAAGAGGAATTTAAGCAATTGTGAACAAGAGACGTACTTAGTCTCTCTGAACATTATTTGTCGGAGATAGCGAGATCGTTGAGAAGATATTTCCCATTCTCGTTGTCGCTATATTCAAGCAATGGAAGTTTCTAATTTCATTGTTGGTCACTGTCACAGCTTGATATTGACCAAACATACAGCAGAAGGCGAGGCTAATCGTGTATCAAAAAAATATAAATTGTAGCGTGAAAGGTGGAAAGTAGACGAAGACCCATGATACCATTACCAGTAGAAGATTATGAAGTTAGCAGCAGAAGGAGGAGGAGGAGCAGGAGCCCCTGCTTGCTCAACCTCAACACACCCACCTCTGAATGATGAAAGTGAAGCTAATATTACCTTCAAGCATTACCTTCGTCAAACATTACCTCCTCCACACCCTGCCTCGAACTCGACGTCTCCAAGCATTACCTCGAATCCTGGCGCTTCCCGTATCGTCTCCATTTTTCTTGGTGATTAATTCTTTTTAGAGACTTAGCTCCCCTAGGGTCTGGTCTCAAGGTCAAATTGGAGACACATGACATGACATGCTTCTCTTAGAGACTGCGCAATTTTTGCTTCTGTCCAACATCATGTGCATCCATGACTGCGCTTCTTTTCTCGTGAATAATAGGCACCACTCGTTCTTCTCCACCTAGTACAACTAGTACGTCACTAATGAAAATGGAATTTCAGAACGGCCCCAACAACGTAGTCTTCACCGTTACTACGCAACACATTGGCATTACAGCTGTTCGATTGTGTTCCAATTATTCGATAAACTGAAATAAGCAAGTAAGTACTTGAAAGAAGCGAAATATTTAAAGAAGTAACGACTCTGTTATTTCAGTCAGTAACTCGTCAATATATTTCAGTTTTCGACGAGTACACATGCTGTTCATAACGTAGTTGTTCTCGTCCTTATAATGTGTTCGAATTACATGTGCTGACTGTTCATAACGTAGTTGTTCTCGTCCCTCGCGGCGTTGCAATACACGACGCACTTCACGTCATGTGACCTCCATCGGCGCGGGACCGCCAGCTGCTTTCCCTCCACCCGAAGCATTATTGTAGTAAAGAATTAGAGCACTTGAACATCATCATATCACACATACTTGTAGTGAAATGTAGTTCCTAAGACATTTAGTTTTAGTATAGCCAAGATAAATAAACGGGTCTCTCTCGTACAAAAAGATAAAATAAATTCATAAAATTTGATTCTGGGACAAGCCACTAGGACAACTCAACACACTCTATAATTTTCAAGGCGTTAAAGTAGCTAGGATTTCACTAGGTAGTTTAGATAGATGGCTGCTTGTGGCAGTCTAGTTTTCCCTCCACCCGAGGCATTGCTAGTTGTAACACAGACACATGCAGGCACTAGCATCGTATTGATATTCGTTGCAACAAGTAGGTCTCAGTGGTCTATGAATGATTGCATAGTACTCCACTACTGGTTCTTGAGAATGACATATCCAAGGAGAAGGACTGCTAAAAAAAGCACATCGCGAGCATTCTTAAATTCACAGATTCAACGAAGAATTGCTGCGGAAGGTTACCGACACCTTCGCCTGAAGAGCCAGGATGCGTTTTGCAGAAAAATTCCTTGCACGCCAATTGATAATGCTTCCCGCTACTTTTGGTATTAGAGACAGAGCCGTCGTGGCCTATTATTCTTGTTGTAGTTGTTGAATCCGAAACCATAAGAAAGTAGCCTGTTGTACTGAAGTGATTCCATTCTAGTATTATAAATGTAAACATGATCATGAAAGGTGTACGGATCCACGTCTCGTTGAGATTACTACAGTACTTCTAGTACTTGCTGGACGCTGAATATTCTAAACTACAGGAATGCACTATCATATAATGTTGAACATCTCCTCTGTAAGATAGTGGCAATGCCTTCTAGAATAAACATAAAGTGGATACTTTCATAATAGTGGTGATATCCTCGATATCTCCTGACGGGACCTGCCAGTGTTGCAGCACCGTTTTCAGCATACCGCTATCCATCACTTTAAAGGGACAACCGTGGACCTGGCCGCCACTCGGTAGGGGGAATCCGATGATACTGGCGCATCCGAATGCATTCTGCCCTTTCAGGTGACCTAGTGGAGTCAGAGTGGCAATGAAGACGTTAGATATACTTTTTATGTAAGTAGTTTTTTCCTTTTCTCGTTCTACTAGGAGAAGTTCCTGGCCCTCAGAAAAATGCTCTAAAATGCGATGACTTAGACTTGCTCTACTCCTACTTGTTCTAGAACTTTAATGTTACAAACTTTTCTTGACTTAGTCTCTCTGGTCGTATATATCCTAGTCTTTCTTGACTTAGTCTCTCTGGTATATATCCTAGTCTTTCTTGACTTAGTCTCTCTGGTATATATACTAGTCTTTCTTGGCTTAGTCGCTCTGGTATATCTCCTAGTCTTTCTTGACTTAGTCTCTCTGGTATATATCCTAGTCTTTCTTGACTTAGTCTCTCTGGTATATATACTAGTCTTTCTTGGCTTAGTCGCTCTGGTATATCTCCTAGGGTTTCTTGACTTTGTCTCTCTGGTATATATGACGCAAGGCCGAACGGCCCCCCCTCCCCCCCCCTGAGGTCTGGTCTGTGGTGGCCTTTTCCGCGCGGATTTTTCGCGGATTCCAGTGGTGGAAGGCGTCAAAGCTTGGCGCCTTCCTCCCCTTCCTTGGGCCTCTCAGCGTGTTCCTAAGGGGCCGCCTGGCCTCTGCTGACCCTGGCAGGCGGGAGGCCTCCGGGGTAAAGAGCAAGCAAGCCGATGACCAAGGGGCCGGAGGGTACAGGCGGCACGGCTCAGTGGGTCCCGCCCCTTATCTTTTGCCGTCTTCAGGGGCCTTCCGTTGCCGGTGCACTGCTGCGGCGGCGAAGCCTAGCGGATGCAGTGAAAGCACAAGCAAACACCTGGACGGGGGCGCAGGCAGCCCCTTGGGCCCCTTTTGAAGCCTCCCACCACCATCAGAAGCCCCTAAGGAACAGCCAGGCAGCTGGAAAGGAGCGGAGGGGGGAACCTGAAGACCAACCGCGCACTTCCACCATCTAACCCCTCAAGCCTGTAGGTTACCTGCAAACGAGAAGCCGGCAGTCCCCTGGCCCCCCCTTGAGGCCTTCCACCTCCGTCCTTTCCAGGCCTCCAGGGGACACAAAGCTCCTAGAAGGGGACGGGGGTGGCCCCTTGGCCCCCTTTTGAGGCCTTCCGCCCAAAGCAGAGAGTGAGACACCCCAAAAAGGGGGCCACGGCGCCCGGCGTCCCCGCTAAGGGGGGCCGTCGCCCCGCGCCCTAGAAAATATGACTCAGGGCCGAACGACCCCCCCTCCCCCCCTGTGGTCTGGTCGGTGTAGGGCTTTTCCGCGCGGATTTTTCGCGGATTCTGGTGGTGGAAGGCGTCCAAGCTTGGCGCCTTCCTCCCCTTGTTGGGCCTCTCAGCGTGTTCCTAAGGGACCGCCTGGCCTCTGCTGTCTGGCCCTCGCAGTCGGGAGGCCTCCGGGGTAAAGAGCAAGCACGCAAGCCGATGACCAAGGGCCCGGAGGGCACAGGCGGCACGGCTCAGGGGGTCCCGCCCCTCGCCTTTTGCCGTCTTCAGAGGCCTTCCGTTGCCGGTGCACTGCTGCGGCAGAGAAGCCTCACGGATGCAGTGAGGGAACAGGCAAGCGCCTGGACTGGGGCGCAGGCGGTCCCGTTGGCCCCTTTTGAAGCCTCCCACCACCATGGCATCGGAGGCCCCTAAGGAACAGCCAGGCAGCTGGAAGGGAGCGGAGGGGGGAACCTGAAGACCAACCGCGCATTTCCACCATGACCATTTAACCCCTCAAGTCTGTAAGGTACATGCAAACGAGAAGCCGGCAGCCCCTTGGTCCCCCCTTGAGGCCTTGCACGTCCTTCCCAGGCCTGCCTCCCTCGGCCAAAAAGCTCTTGGAAGTGACCGGGGGTGGCCCCTGGGCCCCCTTTTGAGGCCTTCCTCCCGCGGCAGACGCCTCAAAAAGGGCCCTAGAGGGGGGCCGGGCGCCCTGGCCCCCTTTTGGAGGCGCCTGCCGGGGGCAGAAAGCCTCAAAAGGGGGCCAAGGGGCTGCCCCCTTCTCGTTTGCATGTACCCTACAGACTTGAGGGGCCCCCGAGGGGGGTGGGAGGCTTCAAAAGGGGCCCACGGGATCGCCTGTGCCCCCATCCAGGTGCCTGCCTGTGCCCTCAGTGAGTCCGTCAGGCTTCGCCGCCGCAACAGTGCACCGGCAACGGAAGGCCCCTGAAGACGAAAAAGGCGAGGGGCTGGACCGACGGGCCCTTGGTCATCAACTTGCTTGCTCTACTGCGACCGCGGCCTTTTACCCCGGAGGCCTCCCGCCTGCGAGGGTCAGCAGAGGCCAGGCGGTCCCTTCGGAACACGCTGAGAGGCCCAAGGGGAGGCCCGCCACTAGAATCCGTCAGGCGGACACATCCCGAGCCAACAAATGCGGTTAAACTTTGGTTAAAGTTTTCGGTTTTTGAGAAAATCCCGACCGAAAGACACCACAACGCACCCGCGTCAGCTGATCTGGCAGCCGGGGGGCAACAACCGACCCGACACAAAAGACCCACGAAAGACCCCACCGGGCGAACCCGTGTCACTACAATGCAATAGCAGGCGCCCGCGGGTCTAGCGCATGCACCTGGGCCGGCCTCCAGCAAGCGGCCCCACACACTTCGAGAAAGACACCCCAACAAAAGGCCCGACACCAAGAGCCGACACCACACCAGCCCCCGAGGCTCACCGGCGCGGACGTTAAGGCCACACTTCGAGGGGCCAGCGAACTGTGGCCCCGGCGCCCACTCCAGAATCACGCGACCCGACCCACGCAACCTGACTGGCGTAGACGTTACAGCCCCACCTCGGGTAGACACTGCTCGACGCGGGGCCTCAACGTCCACACGCGCACCACCCAGCCAACCCCGCGGAGCTTGCACGAGCACCACGCCACGCTTCGAGGCCTGCCAGCGGAATGCGGCGGGTGCGTCAGATGCGGCCCCGTCTACGTCACGGCTGCGCAGCCCGAAGGCAAGCGCCCCAAGACCCCGCGGGAACCGGTTAAAAAACCGGTTAAAGTTGACGGTTAAAAAAACGGCTAAAATTCACGGGTAAAAAAACGGCTAAAGTTCAGGGTTAAAATAGCGCCAAATTTGGGAACGGTTAAAAAAGTCGGCGGCAGGTCCTTCCAAAACTCGGCGGGACTGCTCTAAACCGACCCCAAAAGCAAAAGCGGCCGACTTCTAGGCGAAATCGCACGAGAAAAAGACCAAAAATTTTAACCGTTTTTTAACCGTTTTTTTAACCGTTTTTTTCCAACCCCGGAAAGGGTCGGAAAATTTTAACCGTTTTTTAACCGGTTTTTAACCGTCGACCGGGACCCCACCCCCAAGCCCAGACGAGACCCCTACCGGGTCCCCCCATCCCTTCGAGTGCGAGGCCCAGCACTTGCTTCCGCGCGAGCTGTTGCGCCAATCGTCAAGCCCCGGGGCCGTGGCTCAGTGTGGGCACCCAATGGCAGAGGCACTCCCCTAAATGCCCCCGGCCCCTCCTCCACAAGGGGCGGACCAAGACGACCAAGCAACAGAAGACAAACACAAACAAGCCCAACCCACTGAAAAGCAGCACGAAAACACCCAGGAGGCCAGAATAATCACACCCGAAAGCCGACGGCCTATCGCCTCCCTGACCAGCTTCAGCGATGCACCCCCCTTCAGCCGACACTCCTAAGACATGCACCCTCAAGCCGAGCCACTCAGCCAAAGCATACAGAACCAGAACCGACCGAAAAAAACGACCGAAAAAGCACAGGGACTTTTTCAGTCGTCTTTTTTGATCCGCTGCCGCAGGTTTCAAGATCCGCAGGACCTCTGTAGAGTACCAGAAAGGAAACACACTCAGAAGCGCCCCCCTTGTCGCTCGCAAATATACCAACAAAACAACAAGAGAAAGGCAGAAAAACCCCAGAAACGAAACAGACACACAACGGCCCAGGGCAGGCGCCCCGCGATCCCAAAAAGCCGACTTATTTAGCCAGTTTTTAACGCCATTGGTGGCCGGGTGCCCGTCCGCCTGAAATCCGCGAAAAATGCGCGCGGAAAAGCGCGCGGGCGCGCCACCACAGACCAGAACACAAGGGGGGGGAGGGCGAGGCGTGCGGCCCTGGGTCCTATATCATACTAGTCTTCCTTGTGCTCAGTCTTTCTGGTATACATGACTCAGGGCCGAACAGCCCCCCCCTCCCCCCCTGTGGTCTGTGCTGTGGTGGCCATCTCCGCGCGGATTTTTCGCGGGTTCTAGTGGTGGAAGGCGTCAAAACTTGGCGCGGGCCTCCCCTTGGGCCTCTCTCTCAGCGTGTTCCAAAGGAACCGCCTGGCCTCTGCTGACCCTCGCAGGCTGGCGGGAGGCGGCCGCGGCCACGGTCGCAAGAGCAAGCAAGCCGATGACCAAGGGCCCGGAGGGTACAGGCGGCACGGCTCAGGGGGTCCCACCCCTCGCCTTTTGCCGTCTTCGGAGGCCTTCCGTTGCCGGCGCACTGCTGCGGCGGCGAAGCCTAACGGATGCACTGAGGGCACAAGCAAGCACCTGGACAGGGGCACAGGCGGTCCCTTGGGCCCCTTTTGAAGCCTCCTACCACCATCGGAGGCGCCTAAGGAACAGCCAGGCAGCTGAAAGGGAGCAGAGGAGGGAACCTGAAGACCAACCGCGCACTTCCACCATCTAACCCCGCAAGTCTGTAGGGTACATGCAAACGAGAAGCCGGCAGCCCCTTGGTCCCCCCTTGAGGCCTTCCACCCAGTGCCCAGGCCTCCAGGGGACACAAAGCCCCGGGAAGGGAACGGGGGTGGCCCCCTGGCCCCCTTTTGCGGCCTTCCTTCCCCGGCAGACGCCTCAAAAAGGGGCCCAGGGCGCCCGGCCCCCGGGGGGGGGGGGCGTCGCCCCGCGCCCTGGAACATATATAGATACTAGTCTTTCTCGTGCTTAGTCTCTCCGGTATATATGCTAGTCTTTCTTGACTTAGTCTCTCTGGTATATCTCCTAGTCTTTCCTCACTTAGTCTCTCTGGTGTATGTACTAGAAGTCTTTCTTGACTTAGTCTCTCTGGTATATATCGTCGTCTTTCTTCTGACTTTGTCTCTCTGATATATATCCTAGTCTTTCTACTTCTGACTTAGTCTCTCTGGTATATATCGTAGTCTTTCTTCTGACTTAGTCTCTCTGGTTGTATATATCCTAGTCTCTCTTCTGACTTAGTCTCTCTGGTATTTTAGAGGTACTACTAGTACCTTTTTTTCCGTATGCGTGCTCTATGTCGTATACGAAGTTCTTCTCGAATTTTCCTTCATCCATCTCGGGATCCCTCGAGACCTCCTGCCTCCACCAAGACAGCGACGATTTAAGGTCGAAGCCTGCTTCTCTTAAGAAGGGCCTGAAGATCGAGTCAGTGGTGAGTGAGTGTGAATACTAATTACCATTGAGTTGAAGTTCAAGTTGTAGTTTGACATTGAGTGAGTGTGTTACATGATTGAAATTGAATCACCATTGTTGAGAACAATTAAAAGCTTGGATGCTTCTTCATACGTGCACTCTCCTCGATAATTCACCTACGGGGTAGCGCTCACTCAGGTTCATAGTGACATTCCAAATCAAATTCCTTCGTAAAGAAGTTACTTTTGGTACCTCAGCTGCAATTTTCCCTGATGCTTTAGGCGTTTTTTCGAGTCACGTTGATACTGTACTGTCCACCGCATGCACGGTGGGAAACTGCGCTTCATCATAATCTCGAAATTCGCAACCTTAGAACTTTTCTTCAATGTAAGTGAAAAACAGCTGCAGAGCGAACTAGAAGCCTTTGCGCCTTTGCCGTGTACTATTGGGAGCTTCTTCTTGCCCTCTGTAGTTATATCGTTCCGTATTGGAGGAAGTACATACTAGATAGATGAAATGCAAAGGTATTTCACAGACTACAGAGGAGTCTCGGATGTTGATGAAAAAGTACAACTAGCCTTAACCAGTGACAGTTTCTCGGATGGGCCCTGCGCTACTGACGGTTCTCTTGCAATATACAAATTTTGCCCGTTCTCTTGCAAAGTCTGGAAGGGATGAAAAATCGAAAAAAAAGTTGAACGGAATAAAAAACTTTCTTTTGAAATAGAAGAATTCTTCAAAGTCATACATAGACTTAGATTTCAATATCAACTGGCATCTCCATGTCGTGTTTAATCACGACCCGAATGTCAAGTTACTCAATCTTCAAAGTACCCGTATGAATGGTGCTATTCTCCGGTCTTGGCTGACGTGGTCTAGTCCTGCAAACGCTGAAGCAAGGCCACTGCTTAGCCTCCTCTTGAATATATCGACGACATGCGTCAACATCAGACCTGATTATAGTGACATCATCAATAGTGGAACTAGTAGTCCTGTTAGGTAGCAGTTAGTCAGTGGTAGTAAGAGGAGGAAAGAAGCTTCGATGATAAGAACCCGTTGCTTCACCAGGTGACAGAGCAAACGAAGACAAAAACAAGACAAACAAAGTTGAAGATAAACAAGAATATACTTCTCGGCACGAAGGCTTTGCCTTTTTTCAAGACCACTCGGCGCTTGGAGATCCAGTAAGGCTGAATCGCGAGAAATGGAATCTCGAAAAACTCTTCCTCGTATCTCACAGGGATTGCCCCGAATATCCTCGCGTCTGGTGTCGCCTCCGAGACTTAGAAGCGCTTACTTATTTTTCCATAATTCATCACCTATTTGGTCAACTCATTCTTGTGTTTCGTCACCGACATACTCTCACCTCGTCCCCGGTACCTTGTTTCCCCTATCTGAGAAGAAGACGCAATAAACGTGTCTACAACTGAGACATTGAGAACTTCTCAGACGGCGGGAAGACCATTACATTTACTATTTTGAAGGGAGCAAAAGTAGGAACTTACACTAGCGTGAGTAAAGATGCAAATGGTATAAGACGCTATTAAGAAATACACCTGAGGACCATAATGAAGCTCCCGAAGATTCTTGCCTGTGTACCGTGGATAAGCATTCCCCGTGTCCCGATAGTATGAAGGAGAACCATGGAGATGGGCGAACATTTATGGACTGCACGTCAACAAGATGACTTTATTCATTCACCCATTCTTGCTCGCAAAAGATCTGCGTAGACTCCAACAAGTTTTAGTTTTTGTGCAAGTATTAGTACATCAGCCTCAACGAATCTCTGTAATGCACCTTCTTCGAGCCTAAGAAACAAATTATAAGTGCACGAACAAGTTAGAAGCTAGTTAATGTTGATGTGTCATGTTAATACTATATTGGTAGAAAAGTTTGTCCTTTCGAAAGCAGCTAGTGATACGATACGGTATTCTTATTCTAATTGATTCTAAGTGTCTCGGCATACATAAAACGCGTACTTCGCGGGATCACTCAGTTCCTGTATTCGAAGCGCGAAGAGGCGACCCTCTTGTGTGCAGAACCACTGCCGTGCTTCTCGGTTGCGACAGAAAACGAGTCGGAGGATTAGAAGGAGTACCTTTACCTAAGTCCTAAGAGATGTTCTAGCACTAAAGAGTGATGAGCGACTATTTCCAAGGAGATGTTCCAAGCGAAACTAGCCTTATACCAGTAGCATCTAGCCTTACCAGTATGTGATGTGATAAAAGGTCCCTATACCGATACACCTCTCGCTTTTGTGCAAACTCGGCGACCTCGTCGTCGAACTTAGGCATCTTCAGCCACAGGTCAGCTGCGTCTAGCTCTGCCTTGCACTTGCGTTGCGCATCTAGCATGAAAATAGAAATTCAAAATTGATGATGCGAATCTACTCGGCAATAGAAATTCAAAACTATGGAAAACAAAGGAAAAGGTAAAGAATCAAATTAATGAGAATAATAACAAAAGAGGGAATATTAATGATCACGATGATGTTCTTCCAGCAGCTACTGCCCTACGGATGACAAATTAACTTCTACTACTGTTTTCAACATGTCTGATAGATCAAGATGATCATCGTTTTAGAAGTACAGAATAGTTGCATCAAATAAGCAAATAACTGTAACTCCTAGTACTTTCGTCGAGCTCTTTCCCTACCGGCCTGTTTGGCGTCGCAAGACGGTCAATTATGTGGAGAACTTTGAGACGCTGCTTCGCCATGTCCTCAAACTGAGGTATCGATACCTTTCCCGTTGGTAGCTCATCGTACAAAGAGAGACCCAGGTAGTCGCTTTCTTAGACGAGGTCGAGGACGATGAACAAGGAAGTTGCTCTACTATTACTCTGAGGACGATTGATACTACAAGGAACGGAGGAATGTTGAAGCCTCTCATCGATTATGGCCTTAACTCTCCAGATTCGTGTCTCCGGGACGAAATTCGCCTCCTGCGCTCACACGCTGCATGTTGTTCTTGTATGCTTTTGACGGAGTAAAAATTGTGATTCCTTGCTTCTCATGTAGTAGCGCGTACTTTGGTACTGTCCACTCCAGTCTGCAGTGTCTGCAAGCGTGTCAAGGGAGTACTAGGCGTTAGCTTGTCGCGTTTCTACTAATTCGTTCTTGTCCTTCCGAGCCGCAGGTTGACGTCGCACCACGTAATCTTTGTTTGAGCCAAGCGGGATGCTAGTTTCCCGCATATGTCTTGGAACTGGAACCTACTCGTGCTACTATCATACTATACTTTAGAAGGCGAAGCTAGTCGGGTGGACCTATACTGTTCGCCGCTGAGCGATGATTCGTTCTATGAAGCAAGATGCCTCACTTACTTCTGCTTCTCGTCCGGTTCCGCTATTCCCACGAGACTCCTGATACAACGCGAAAGAGCTGGTGTACTGCTTCAGCTCATGAAAGAGAAAGAGATGGATATTTTTACTGATTCCATTCACACCACATTCAACTAAGTACTTCTGCTCGTCTCGCCTTCTTCGAAGAAAGCCAGTCTCCCTCCAGCACTAGCGATGGGTTTTTGCGTCTTGTTCTCTCTTCCATGCGACGAGTGCAGATACAGTTCTCCTGTAAAATATTTTTCTGCAGCGATAGACAATAGTGCGCAGACAGTAGACGCGTCTGCGAAAGACCTGTCGCGACCTAACGTCAGAATCCGCCGCCGTGGAAGTTCTACACAACGCTACAACAACGCCAGTCTGCGCTTTCCTGAAGATCGCCGCTCCCTTCCTTGCTCACTCGATGAAATCTTCGGTCACCTTTACCTTTGTCGGTTGTTTCGATTTCGTCTCTCGCTCCCCGATGAGTGGACGCAGACAAAAATTGCTCAGGAACCTAGCACAGCAAGGACGTTAGCTCCCCTTGAGCGCGCTACAAGCCTGAAGAATCGTCTATACGATGACCTGTGTCTCATTTTTGTAGTATGCTGAAAGTGCGACTCAACAACAAGAAAAAAAACTACTCTTGTTTCAATATGCTCAAAAGTGATCAGCGAGACTCGTGCTACACATCTTCTACTCTACTGCTATTATGTCCATAATTGTGCGCGCGTTTCTTGCGTGATCATGAGCTTCACAAGCCAAAGTAAAATATTCTCAGCTGCCTCCAAAGGTCGCAAGAACACCTAGTATGGCCGCGGCTTGTTCTTTACAATACGAAACAATACAATACAACACAATACAATTAATCTCGCACAAAGTTCAGTGCAGACGGCCTTAAGGGCGTCATAGATGGTATACACGATGGATCTCACGCAAAGATTGCAATAGCGAAGCGGTACGGTTACGTACGTTTTGGAAAGTAACAACTTAACAAGAATTAGCCCTAAGCGAGAGACTTAGACAACGAACCCCAACTGCATCCGTTAAAACACCATACAATACAATCAGTCTCGCAAAGATTTCAGTGCAGACTTCCAGAAGTGATTCTACTAAAAAACCCGGTTACGGTTTGAAGATTTCGCCAAAATGAATCTTTCTTTCAAAGTGTGCAGCCATTTTGCATACTAAACCGATTGAAAGAGATTGAGATTGGCTAAGTCCCATCGGACGTCGACGGTACCAGGGGATAAAATCTTGACTTATCGACCACATTGCATGCGTCTGTGTTTGTGATATCGAGGCTGTATACCTCTTCTTCTTATGTGCAAAGAACTTCTACACTCTATTTTTCTTCAAAGTCCCACTTCATGAGTACCAACTTCAAATTCATCGATCATGGCGGCGAACACAGAACTCAGAGATGAAGCAGGAATGCAACACCGGAGACAAAGATTGCAAATTCGAGAAAAAATCATATCCCGGCTCGCCTTCCGCACCAACAAGAGTTTGGTCCCACTTGTTCTTTTGCATTCTTTTGTTATTGCTTGTACTTTCCGCCTCCATGATCATCCAGATTACTTACTTTCGTCATCAATGTATCGTAAGTGGATGCTCCTGACCACAAGCGAGGCAAAACAATGTTGCCTGCGGTGATTGCAGCCTGGCCTAAAGACTGTGCAACCTGTGTGTGACCGCAAATCGGTTACAAACACCAACCGAAACCGAAATCCTGAAAGAAAAGAGAGGACGCAACAAGCCTGCATCCTCTATTCTTTTACGGTGTCGCCCGTCGCGGGGGTAGTACGGTTTCACGCCGTGTGGTCGCCTTAGAAGGCTAATGAACGGTGTTATTTTTCTGTATCAGATCCTGCTATGATGTTTCCGTTCGTCCTTCATAGCTATGAAAGCTCCTTCGCGAAAGCCGTCCGAAGCGCGGCAAACTCGATAGGACGAAGGGGTTTCCATACCCCCTTCAGGGTGACGCTGGTCAAATGCCACAGCATGATTGAATGTATCGGAAGTAGACTACCTTCCGACGGCATGTAGCAGCGGTCTTCTTAAGGCTATCGGGGCCGCACGTTGTTTCGTGCGGAGTCATCAGAATATCCTGATCTTCAGAGGGAGTGGCCAAATATTCTATAAATAGCGCTCTCAACAACAACAGCGCAGAGGAATTGCCGAGCAGCGAGTTTCAATAAGTACGCACAGCCTCTGCAGCCATGGTTGCTGCAGGGTCACTCAAAAATCCTTGAGTCGTCAGTCGACTTCCTTCTTCGACCCATCACGATGATCAGATCCCGAGTGCATTCGTTACTTCTAGCGAAAAGTGCACTCGTTACTTCTAGCGAAAAGCTGTGAATCTTGCGGGGCACAAGCGACATCCTCAAACGCCTATCGATTCATCGTCTTGTTCCGGAATCGGTGGAGCTCGTAAACCCTTTATGTCAAGTATTTCCAAAAATCCTTCGTAGGTTCCGGCACGCTGCTCCGCAGGGTTCAGCCCGTCCATGATGTCGTGTATACTTGTTTTCTTGTCGAGCACTAAGAAGGGTCCCATTACGTGGTGCGCGTAGAGACGATCCACCTCTTGAAGGGTCGGGTCGTCCCGGAGCTCAACGAGCGGTAAATTCCTCAAGCGGTAGCCTCGCTCCAACGCTATGTGAGCTAAAGCGAAAGCTTCCTCTGGTGCCTCTTCTTGCAACTTCTGCCATCCTGTGAAATAGTCGAGAAAGCGCCACGTGCGTTCTTGCCTCAAGGGCGCGAATGTGATAACATCGCCGTCCTCATCCAACCACTCGTGCTGTTGAAGAGAGCGACCTGCGCGCAGCAGTCGATACACAAAGCGAACGTCACCACGCAAACGGTCCGACGCCATAGAATAAGCAGTTACACAATTCTTAGTCGCGGTCACCACGGTTTCCGCATCATCGCGGAAGTCTCCCGCGTACTTGAGCAAGCTACCGTCGCAACGAACGGCGGCTAGTATCAACTCTTCCAGAAGTTCTGCTGAAGCTAGCGCTTTTGACGTTTTCTGATCTGAAGCATAAGTAGCGCCAGCATCGTCTCCTGCGTTCCCAGAAGAACAAGACCACGAAAAACCTGCACAGTCAAGGTTCGTGAAGCTCTCGATCCACGCTTTTGAGTCACCGTGGCTGCGATACGACGTCATATTCTTCACGACCATGTCAGGTCTTGCACAAGAGCGGATGACTTCGCGAAACTCGTGAGGCTGATAGTCTGCGAGCAGACGCAGATCGCGCGTACAAGAACCCGAAATATGCTCTACTACGACGCTTCCTGATGCTTCCACCGCACGCAAAAGGAAATCGACGTCGGCGTCGATGTCCACTTCCGGCTTTCCCTGTCGTTCTCTTTCAGCAAGGATAAGACGTCGCACATTGTTGTAAGCCCCCGGACTTTTCATTGCGCCAGCTTCTTTAACTAACTGCAAAGCAAGCATTGCTTAGAGCTAGGGTTTTGGTGTTCATGTTTCCCGTTTGTGCTGCCTTTCTCGTCCCTTATGACGAGAGGCAAAACAAACGGCAACAGGAACACCTTGAGCCTACCCTTAAATTGCGAAGTCCTCATTATCGGCGTAGGTAAATAGATGCTTCAGCGCGCTCAGCGGAGCATTGCCATTGGCGAACGCGGCCAAGACGATGTCGCGAGTAGGATTGGTCACAATCGACAGAAGGCTTGCATCCCTTGATACCGCAATCTTGGCAAGGTCTCGCTTAAGCTCCTCGTCTACTGAGACGTGCACGTGAGCAAAAAGTGTTGGGTCCTGTTTCACCGCTAACTCTAGAAGCTCGCGATCTGCCTGAAACTCGCTGGAGCAGTACCGAAGAGTAGAGCCGGAAATTTGCACTACTTCTCGCACGAAGCTACGGTCGCCAGAAAGTAGCTCGCTCGCGTGCTGGAAGGCACGTGCGTCCTGAGAGCAGGCTGCCAAGACCACGTCGCGGTCGTTCCGCAACTCCTTGGACGCAAATTGGAGCGCACGTCCTGCAGATTTAACGGCGGCAAGAACGACCTCCTTATCATGTAGATGGTCCTGCAATCGGAAGTCGCAATGTCGCAGGACCCAACCATTCGCCGACACCAGCGACAAAAGAGTTTCACGCCTTCTATCTTCGACAACAACAAGACTGCCATCGCCTCTAGTACCTCTTGGCACGACATCTTTGGAACCTTCTAAAATCTGACGACTTCCATCTTCATTCGTCGTCGATAGGGATTCCAGCGCTAATCTCACGAAAGTGACCACACTATAGGTCCTTAGAGGTTTCTTCAAATACTTTTCTATCAAGAAACGCCTCATCGCAACTACGATATCAGGGAACTCCTCAAAAAAGCGGTTCGGGTCGCGACAGTAGAAGTCGGTAATCCATTCACACGACTCGGCGTCCGCACCTGAGCATTGTGCTTCAACAAACTCTCGACTCCACAAAATATCGTCCCGCAGGGTCACTGATTCAAAAAGGCGAGCATCAAGCTGAGACGCTGCCTTCGCGATCTCAACGTCTTCGAGAAGATACCGAGGAAATCTCTCTTCGTCATTGTTAGAACTCAGACACAGACTAGAATTTACATCTTTTCGGTTCTCATCTATGGCGTCCACTTTTCATCTAGACGCTTGCAAACAGCTTCCAGATAATTACCTAAATTTAAATATGGTGGACGATTTTACTAGAGGAGGCCGTAACATTGAGCAGCTTGGAAACCCACTGGCAGACAGCTTTATTGCCATTGATACTGGCACTGGTTACCATCCATCGTCGACTGATGGGGGCATCAGGGACCGTCGGATGTGGGAGGTGTCGAGGTCGTCCACATCCATGCCACCTAGCTGCATCGTCCTTTGAGGCATCTTCTTTTTCTTTCTTCATCAAGCTCAGGTAAAGAAATTCCTCCAGGCCTCGAAGCGCTCTCAGCCACGTAGCTCGCTCAGAGTTGTCGACAGCTACGTGAATATCAGGAATCTCAGAAGTTTTCTCGTTGTCATTGTCCCCAAGATCGGGTCTTGGTGCCAAGCCAGAATCTTCAAGATTGAAAAACTCACGACCAGTTACATCTTTTCCGGCATAGAAAACCAACGTATGAGTCAATGGAACATTGAAGAAGTTTCCGGCCATCTCGCGCACATCCCGAACCGCAACATCTCCAAGCTGCCCAGCTGTCCCAGCTCCCACGACATTCTCGTCGTGATGAGCACTATTTTCAGCAGTGGCTGCAAGTGCTATCTCTCCTATGCTCTCACCAGCAAGACTATACACCGTCACTGTAGAAGTTAAATTCTTCATTTTTTTCCAGTGTTTCTGTTTGACAAGATGAAGGCGAAGCTCACCTTGAGTGAGACTACAACTTACGTACCATAATGTTATAGATACTACATATGTTTACGAATATGTTTTTGTTTTTCGCCAATGAGTCTACTTATATAAGTACCTTCCTGAATTATACTTAGCTCTGATTTCGCGACTACTTCCAGTTCTATGTGTAAATGGTGAGGATTTTCATTTATATTGATTCAACATATAATATGTAGGCGACAATCAAGCATGTGGCTTCTGCAGTTTCACGCTCAGCATTCTGCAGTTGTGTAATAATATTTTCAGCGCCCCGGCATGATGAGTCCACTGGATCAGAGAAGCGACATAATTTTATTCACATAATTGAAATTCCTCACCATGAATAATTATAATGTGCATCACCCATCTCTTAAGGGCGTCCTAGATGGTCTTCGCGATGGATCTCAAGCAAAGAATGTAATAGCGAAGCGGTACGGTTACGTTTGTTTTGGAAAGTAACAACTTAACAGGAAACAGCACTGAAGCAGGAGAGACTTAGACAACCCTAACTGCCTTCGATAAACCAGCTACAACCGATCGTGTTTGCTTTATTTTAAGATCATCCTGTCAAACAACTACTATAACTAACAAGGTGATGTTGAAGATTTTCTCGCGCACAGAAAACTAACAAGGTGATGAAGATCTTATAACGCTTTCTCATAAAAATCAGAGAGAGAACAATGAGAAAGGAGATCCGAGATGGAGATCGCGATATTAATTATAAAATGCTACAGAGGAATGCGAATCTTGAACAAAGTGAACGCTCAACGCGTGTTTTTGGTCATCAACATCGTTGACGTTGGGATCTATTTTTCGTCCCGTCGTTTCTACACGACACCGGCTCTTCGTAGCGATGAAGTGTGTACTTACACTTGTTGGTCAACATGACCAGTAAGGTGTTGGTGTTGGATATCACATGGCATACCTCGAAAAGTCAGAGTCTAGGCCATTGGGTCAAAATGCTGTCCCATGGATCCATCGTGATGACGTTGCTATTTTTCCAAAGAATCCAGTAGATAGTCCTTGATCATATTTATCTTTTTTTACTCCTTGATGAAAAAGTAAGCTACCGGTATTTGATGTAAGTGATGTAAGTGAGGAAAAACTCGAGGTCCTTCCCGAGAAGTTGTAATCATCAACATCATCAAAAAGTGTAATATGCAAAACATCATGCGCACACTTGTCATAGTCATGGTCATGCGCACATCCGACTCATTCACGTTGAGAGAGAAGAATTAGAGTCAAGTACAAGTACTAGAAGGATAGCTGCCGTCAAGAATACACTAATATTCATCATGATTATGTTGGTTTGTCCACGATCAATAGCCTTGCGCCATCCATGAAAAACACGCGGCGACCTGTCTCGAGACGGGAACCATCTATCTTCGACCGTGATGCTGCCATTGCCTCCTCCGCTTCCGCAAAAGCGGTTCCATTCGAACTCGAAGCCTGCTTTTCACTAATCGTCTCCATAAGAAGTCGAGTAGAGGATGCTGCCTTGCTCTGACTATTTTGCGACTGACTTCGAGATCCACGACTGCTGCTCGAGAGAGAATAATTAGAGCCCAGACAATTGATAGAAGGAGTTTGGAGAAGTAGGAAATCATTCACGTTGAAGCAAATTAGAAACAATAAGGAAATAAAAATACATGGAAGACGGAGTCGTGGTAGTCCCCATTGACGATTACCCTAAACCCTATTCTTCTTCTACTTGACGACAGCTATTCTAAGCTGAAAAACTTTCTCAACCTCTTATTTCTTCACCTCTACGAATCCCAGAATCGAAATGATATTTGATATAATGACTCCTCGTCTAAGCGTGAGAGAAGAGCCGGAAAATACGAGAGAGGAGAAACCTTAAAAGATGTGCTCACAGGAGCGGATCCACTTCCTGCCTTTGCTACAAAGCGACTTGCTTTGCCTGTCTCCTGCTCCCGTTGCTGCAATTCCGAAGCTGCTGTGGGTGTACTGGATCTTGAGGATTTCTGAGACGAGGAGGTCATTATATTCTTTTTAGGATGTTGATGAAAAGCAGTGTTCCTTTTATGCCTTCGCCGAAGATTCTCCTGTTGCGATCCTGTTCCAATTCCCAGTCGTCCGCGTTCCTCTGACAGTCTGTAGAATTGGAGTTTTCGAAAGGCGCGGGCTTTCAACATCAAATCTTCTGCGGTTTTCTTTCGCGCTCCAACAAGAATTGCGGCGTTGCGCAACTTCCCTCGCAAAGTTTCGATCTCCTTCTTTGCTGCTCCAAGATCATCCTCCAAAGAGCTCCGGCTTGCAGTTAGATGTTTGCTATCGCCTGCCACAACAGGAGGCGCTGTTTGCTCGTCAACAACAGCAGAAGAAGAAGAAGAAGAAGAAGAAGAAGAAGAAGAAGAAGATCTGCTTCCACCGTTGATGTCCGCTGTGCCCTTTTTTATCATGTCCGTTGTAGAGGAAGTGGGAGTTAGCAAAGCAGGCGCACCCGCTTCACAGGACGTTGAATAGAGGATCGGCGTTGGCAATTTCTGTGCGTCACTCGATGGCAAGAATAGACGTTGCCTCTCCCCTCCTGCCTGACTCGCAGCAGTCGGCGTGGATAGCCTACTCGAGGAGGTTTGCAGAAGAGGTGGCACGACCCCAGCAGAGCACAAACCAGTAGTGGCAGCAAGAGGCTGTTGCGCAGATGAAACAAGAGATCCTGCTGAGAACTTTGTCGTTCGTGACAGGGGACAAAACAGCATCGCAGGAGGACCTTGCTGGGAGGTTCCCCCCGAGCCCGGACACATTCCTTGCGCTGTTCCATGCGGCGTTGTTCTGGTGAATCGACCAAATCTGACTTCCGGAGACTGCCCTCTTCTCATCTGCTGCTCACTGTGTACAGGCAGAAAATCCTTCGACGAGGAAGGCGCGGAAAGGTTATTTGTAGCTGTGGTCACTGGTGTAGTTTCTACTGTTTTTACTGCCATCCCTCCCATTACTGCTACTCCTCCTGCTAGAGTTTCTTCTTCTGTCGGAGAGCGTGAGGCTGACGAGGAACCGCCAAAGTAGTCCTCTCCAGGCGAGCCACTTGTTGAAACGGTCGCTTGCTCATTATACGTTGTACTCTTAGATGAGGAAGAATCTTCAAAAGAGTGAGAGGAGGATTTTTCGTCCTCATCTAACAGTTCGGATGAAGAGTCCTCGTGGTCTCCATGCGGCTCCTCGTCATCATGGTAGTGCAATTTTCGTTTCGTCCTCATCTTTTGGTCTGTAGAACTAGTTGTACTAGTGCAATTCGGCTTCGTCTTGAAGATCATCATATCTTTAGAAGCTTGTCGTACTGGATGTTGACCTTGAGGTAGATCATGTTCTTCGTAGTTCTCCCCTCTACTGGTGTTTTCAGTCTTTCTAACAGCAACAGCCTGTGCGCGGACGCCAGAATCTTCTAGTATTTCGTAGGGTGCGCTGCTCCCATCGTGGAACGAGTCGCTCCCGTGGAAGGCGCCTCCTGCCTGGTCTCGAGAAGAGCTAGACGTAGAAGTAATGACGTCCTCCACCACTGATGATAGGGTCTCACTTCTTGTCGGCAGCAGAACGGATCCAGCGCCTGTCCGGGTCAGCCCTCCTTCAGATGAACTTCTATGCTCAGATTCAACAGAAGAGTTATTCTTACTCTCTTCATAAGCAGGAGCTCCTCCATTTGTGGTCGAAGCACTACTAGCAAGGCGAGCGCGACGAGGAGGTTGGAATATTAGACAGGGTGTAGTGGTAGTACTCATTATAGTCGAATTGCTGGTCGTGGAATTGTTGTTGTTCTTCGCTATTAGAGGGTTGTTCCAGGAGGAGGTCGCGGTGGTAGCAGACAGGGGGAATGGGGTTCGAAGACCGCCGCCGAAGGGTGTCACTATCCCGCTTCTTGTTTGTGACGCTGCGCTAGTCCTAGACGAGGACAAAAAGTGAGTTGCTGCGGTGGTCCTAGAGGTGGAGGCCGGATTCGTTAGTATGTAATTTCCGCTTATGTCAGTGGCTGCTGCAGATGAACTGGCACCAGGAGTAACGCCACTTCTTCTAGTACAAATTGTAGAATGATCCTTGTCTTTTTTACTACTGCCATTTCCTCGGGATGAAGAAGAAGATGCTGTGGTCGATGAAAATAGGGCAGTGAGATCATTTGTCAACGCACTGCCTGATTTCAAGGCACGAGATGAGCACCAATCTGCAGAGGCCAATAAGCCGCGAGGTCGTGCTCCAGGGTTCCCCACAACGCCTTGATGAACGTTCTTAGAAGATACCCATACCACGCGGTGGTGGCCCTCCATTGACACTTTCACAACCAAGCATGGGCGCCGAAATATATAACAGAGGCATGTATGTTGTACTAGAATGTAGTACTTAAGTACTTGTACAACTAAACATACTAGAAGTAGCACTTCTGTACTTCTTGTCCACAGATGATTTCCTGATAAGAAAAATGAGCGTCGACAAGAAAAGTAGAGTGATGCAACATTTCTTCCTTAAGAACTTGGTCCGTAACCCTTTGCGTTTGCACAGAGGCAGATCTGACCTCACTTCTTTTGCTCAAAGAGCTGCTCCCCCGAACGTCCTATGTGTAGGAAAGATTGTTGTAAATGTTGGGGTTGGCTCATTCATTCGTCCCTTGATCCGCACCATCATCGAGTCTGAGTACTTCGTTAAGCGTGTCCAACAGACAAAAAGGATGAAATGCTTTTTAAAGTTATCTTCACTGTACAAGAAACAGAAACTATGAGATATCTTTCTCTAGTACCATTGCACCATGCGGAGACAAAGCCCGCAGCCGGGAAAACACCAGAGGCGACGCGTGTGCAGGTGGTTGTAAGGCCGTTTCTTGTACGTCTTGGAGGGAACCGGACACAACTGCACGGGGAGGCGGCAACATCTTCTTGGATTTGTTGTTCGTCTCGTCTGCAGACCTGTCGCACCTGCGGCTGCGCTCTCAACTGAATATATTTATAAGTAGTTTAAGTGTGTTCTAGTTCATCCTCATTGACAGTCGTCACGAAGTGGCCAACAATACTGCGTTGATCTACAGTTGTCAGACAAGCGGTCTGATGTATGGTGGTCGTATTTCGATCCACGACAACTTTGCTTCAACAACTTGATCTCCTTGCTGTCGTTCTTTGTCCGCTTGCTCTTCGTGTGTCCGTCAGCGTCAGGGACGTGACCGACAACGCTTAAAGTCGTCACAAAAAGCGACTCTGGAGCGCATAGAATTCATTGTCAGGACCTAGTTCTTTTTTCCTGTACCTCATAAGTAGATTAGAAGCAATTTCTTCTCTTTCGTCTCTTGCAATGCCAGTTTTTGTTCTACACAAGTGACATTTTTCCACGGGTTCGAGATTATTTTCTTTTCTCTTTTGTGCCACTAGGACTGTATCTACAAGTAATGTGCTACTTTAACACGGGCGTCGAGGTAACAGTGTGGGCAAGTGGCGCTCAGAGACGTCACGAGGTAGAATGCAAAAAATATGCGGTATGCAGACACCGTTTCGCGTGTCAGTACTACCTGTAGATGACTTCTCCGTAGTGACGTATATCGACACGAGTACAGACCACCTATCACAAGAACTTCAGAGCTCGTAGACCTGAGAGAAAGTGACATGAATCATGGCAAACCGAGCACGTCAAGATGGTCAATCTCTCTCCCGGTCTCGTCCCTCTCTCGCAAGTAATTATCAATTTGTTTCATGTTCCATTCCTCTTTAGGATAGGATAGGAGTTGGCTAACCTGTAACAAGGTAAGCATATAGGCCTTCCTCTTTCGAAATTGACGACCGATCTCTGTGACTCGACATGGACGTAGCTTCCATGATGGGATGATTACGGGAAAAGGTTATCTTCGTTTCTGGCTCTTCTGGGGATCATGTATTCACTTATCATTGGGGTCAATCTCGACATGATACTAGATCTGTAAGTTTCAGTTGTACCAATAATCGGGGTTGCTTCTTCATCTGTACATCAATGATTTTAGACTCCTGTGCAGCAGCTACAGTTGGTGTTTTGATTTGAAAAACTGTTGTAAAAATCAATTTGGATATTGTCTCGTACCTAGACGTTGATGTCCTAACATCGATCATCAAGCCCCTTGCAGGAAGGACAGCGTGTGGAGATGGAGGGCAAGACATTGATATGCAAAGATTTCTTCCGGTTTTGAGCTTTCATGGGTATGGATATGGTATGATTATTCGTTGAGCCAGTAGTTCTAGTTCGTCTGTGCAAAAATTATATACACCATATGAAGATCTTCTGTACTTCTTGTAGTATGAACGATCAGGTTAGGTTAGGGTGAGATCTACCATCCGATGTGGCAGATTTCAGCGGCTACTTTCAAATAGGGATGTGGTACTATGATCTTGCGCCCAAAATGAATTTAGCGAACGTAGACTTAGTGGTTCTGATGTCACAACAATATGGAAGACAAAGATACATATTCAGTCATATGAGATTGAAGACGTATGATCGAACAGAGAGATGCCAACAAGAAATGTAAATGTAAAATTGAAAACTCACTTTTTGTTGACGAGTTCATCAACATCTAAATGGTAATATATGTCATCGAGGGGTGCTAAAAAACTTGCTGTATTCTTGTTCTCGGTGTCCTCTTTTTATGATTAGAAACTGCGAAAAGATTGACCCCTTCCGCTCCAGCTCCATTCTGTCAGAGGGGCGACTTCTAGGACAGCTAGAGCCATAGTGATTTGCAAACTGAAGCATTAGCATTAACTATCTATTGCTATGGATCAACAAAGCATTATCGTGCATTTACTTTTTCAAGCTGTAGCTGATTAAACGAGATGATCAAACGAGTTTCCGTCGGTGTGTACAACGAAGTCTCAATCTTTAGTGCTGTTAGTCCCTTCGAATAGTCGTGACCAAGTCTAATGAGTAATTGGGTTCAACAAGATGATTTTTTTTTTCTCAATGAATAGCTAATAAAAGCAGCGTAAATTAACGTTGGACTACCTAGTAAAAGTGCGTTGTGTTCGTGGTCCTGATTTCGATCATGAGGGAAAATAAGAAGAGAATCCTTGTCATCTTCAAATTCAGGTTACCAAATACCGGAACCATCCAGTGGATAATATGTAAATGGGTTCCACTTTCTTATACATATACATAGTACAACATAGTAGGACAGCCTGTATGGTGTTTCTGTTTCTTCTTTCAAGCAAAAGGTCGCTCTGCATTGGATTCGTCGCTTGTTGTTGCCGCGTAAAACTGCTCACGCAACTCCTGTTCCCGTTGCCTCATTGCGGATATTGCTGCGGCACTGAGTTCTGGGAAGGTCCACCCAAATCTGCCAAAGAACCGTCTATAGTTCTGGATGCGCTGACAGAGCAGATTCGCCATGTTCGGCAAAGGCAATAATCCAGAAAAATTAGAAGAGGAAGAGCGTCAATGAATTTTTCGGAAATTTAATAATGAAGAACTTGTTGAGCAAAACTAATGGATTTAATATACGGGTGGAGCCAAGCTAACTAGGAAAAGACAAAGGAAGGATAGTAAATTCGGAAATTTAATATATAATGAAGAACTTGTGAGCAAATTTAATGGTACCATGTTGATGCCGATGGAAACTCGAAGGATCACAAGAATGTCAAACCAGTGACATTACAGGCAAGACGACTACGCACACAACATGAAGAGAGAGACTACGCTCGGCTACAACCGTCATAAAAAGGTACTACACGGGCTACAACCGTCATAAAAAGGTACTACACGACACACAAACATGAAGAGAGAGAGAGAGAGAGAGCGTTGTTGTGAGCGTATGTGACAAGTCCAACTCGAGCCTTAAGTTTGACACCGTATAGATTCCTAGGGTCGGCTGCGTCACCAGGGATTGCTGTTTCTTGTGCTGCCTCAGCACGTGCAGCAGCTGTTCGCGATCGTGTCTGGATTACTCGGTGTATCGGAGACTTTGCGTGCGATCTCGAGTGGTTTCCGCTGCACTTGTTAGAAAAGAAGAACAATGAATCGTAAGTATGAGTATCAGTTGTTTCCGACAAGATACACTTCAATGTGTTAGAAAACAGCGACCATATATTTCTTGTTTTTTGATTAATGAAGCACAGTAGGAAAGCAAAAGTCTGCATTCATGACTGTTGCTGTGCAGCCACTTGAGAAAAAGTTACCACTTATAGTTAGTATGGAAGAGTCTCTACTACATGAGTAAACCGCAAGCAGCTGACATAATCGCGCTTGAAGATTCCTCTGAACTAGTTGTTGTCGTTTCGTCTGGCGCGTCGAGCAAAAGTCCCTTCACGGATTCGACTGCCGCTGCGCCACAAAGGCTAACGTCATAACCGCCTTCGGAATTCAGGACAATACGCGAAAGAAATTAGAAAATTTCACCCACTACGCCCTCTACTTTCATTTACTCTTACTCTCACATCAAGCGCCCTCTACTTTCATTTACTCTTACTCTCACATCAAGAGCTTGTTGATATTTTCTTCATAACAGACTCTCAGTCTCAATTCGCGGATGATTCGACCGTATACTTCTGGCGTCCATCTGGCATCGCAACCAGGACACAGGGGTCCGCTAGTGCCTAGTGCGTCGTAACCCAGCGAAACGATTATCAAGTCTGGTCGAAACTGCGTCAGCACTGGGAGTGGACATGAAAGCTACTTCATGTTGACTCAACAATTCTAAGTTTGGCTGAGAAAAAATGTACTTAGCATGGCTTTGCATGTGAAAGTCGTGGTTAGAAAAAGTTGTCCAAACTTGAAAGTGAAAGAGCTTGAGCATAATTTTTTGTGGTGTTGTACCAGGTAGGAGTAGTAGAACCAGAACCACAAGCAGCATAGCAATAAAACTAATTTATCAACAAAGTATGTTGAGAATGACAATCAAGTTCAAGTTATTTGTAAGTAATCATAAAATGAGATGCTCGAGATAAGCAAGCGCAACAAAGTCACCGTCTGCGTAGAGCGTGTGTATGTTGATGTTGTAGCCAGCACCTTTCCCACATCCGGCAAAGTCCATGAGGCCTGTCCGTTCGCACAGAGTTAAAGGGGTGGAAATACACGTAGAGGGCTTGCTTTTCCTAGCATGGACAACGACATGATGGAGATGGACCACATCGATCATAAGACGTTCGTTCGGTCAAAGATATCATTGACAAGGGAGGTCCACCCCGAGAATAAAGCATCAGCATGCGTATATCTGAAACTGCTACAACAATTTCAAAGTGTCCATTTTAAAGAATCAGAAGCCTGAAACTGAAAGGTGCTGATCCTGGGACTGACTGTAGAACTAGAAACAAGCGTACGTCGAAAAGGATGAACTTTAATGTCAATTTCACTAGTGCTGCAACCACCAATCATATCAGAAGTTGACCGCGATGGACGCTGATAGTCAGCACATTCGGGTCCTCGTAAAAGATATCTTGCGTTCCGTTGCCGTGGTGTGTGTCGATATCTAGAACTGCTACCCTAGCGTGGTTCGCAATCGCATTAGCAGAGGGAAATGTTGTCTTTGACTTTGTCACTGGAGAAGAAGAAGGCGCAACTAGTGGATCATTTGTGTGTTGTTCAGCAGCAGTTGGTTTTGACTGCTCCTGTGGTAAAAGAACAGTAGAAGAAGTAGTAGTCTTTCTCTTCGTCTTCTCAGAAGGCTGCCGTGCTACAACAGCAGCCGCTGGATTCCTGTTGCTATCGTCCTCAGTGTTTTTTAGTCCATTTTGATGTACGTCGACAGGATCTACTCTGAGCTCCGCATCATTTTTGACACCTAGAAGTGGCTTACCAGGCTTTGCAATATTCTCCTTGTCGTTCTCCGAAGAAGAGCTCGATGTCTTCCCTCCAGCTTCTCCAACGTGAGGCGGTGGATCCTGCACCTTTCCAGCACTACCGCTGCCCTGCGCTTTGCTTGCACTGCTATCGCCTTGCTTGCTACTGCTGCTGGCGCTGCTGCTGCTACTACTACTACTGCTGCTACTACTACTGCTGCTGCTACTACTGCTTGAAATACTTGGCCTTCCTCCACCTGCACGCAATAAAGATGAGGGAGCGTCGCGATCTGCCAAGTCTTCGATAATTGCGGAGTGTTCGCCCTCCCTAGCGCTAGCAGCAGAGGGAAAAAGAATTTTTGAAGATGACAGCTTTTCGGTGGTTCTTTTCCCGCTAAGCCCGCCTCGTTTCGTCGTTCTTCTATTTTCTGTCTTAGAGCTACTACGTCGCATCTTCCTTGACGCCCAAATCCTTGGACGCTTCTTTCCCCTTGAAAAAGCGGCCAAGGATCAACATGGTCCGTCTGTGCGGATGCTTCACCTTCAGCAGTAGCCTTAACTGTCAGTGCTCCAGATTTTGCTTGCTGTGTGATTTCTTCCCTGAGCTGCAAGATGGCATAGGCCGTCGCATTGAGAAAACTGAACCCAGTACACAATTCGTCCCCCTGCAGTCGGTAGAGTCCACCGCGCTTGGCGGGGAGTAGTTTGCTGGCCGTAGACTGCATCTTTTTACGCCAATCTGAAGCTAAGCGACGCTCGTGAGGGTCCAAGTAGGTAGACCAGATCTTATCAACGGCCTCCTGACACAAGACGCGGAACAACGAGTTAAATGTCGTTACCTTGTTTCCAACGTTTTGAGCACCGTCTTTTGCTCCAGTGGAGACGTCCTTCTCCTCAAATTCTTCGTCAGCTGCCTCGTGCTTCTCCTTAAATTCTTGGTCAGCTGCCTCGTGCTTCTCCTCAGATTCTTGGTCAGGGACCTCCTCGTGCTCTTTCGCAGCAGAAGCAGAAGAGTCCACCTCTGCGTCTGAACTACTCGTTTTCTCGGTCTCCGACATCTCGCGCCCGTCGCGAAACCCCGGATACCCTAATCTTGGGTGGATCACCTCTTTGTAAAGCCGCTCGCTAAGCAGCGGTGAGGCAGCTTCTTCTGCTTCGCTTCCTGACGGGTGATGATCGATGGTGCTCCTTGTGCTCCTTGTGGAAGTGACTTGCTGTGCTTCTACTGGAGGTGGCAGCTGCGCACTCGCAATGAAAAAAATTACACAAAGATGAGCGTACCTTTTTCCTAGACTTTTAGTATAACTTAGACTTTAAGTGAAGGAAGCTTTTTTGCCGTGATTGGGACGACCCTCGCATGATAATAACATCTCCTACTTGTCAAAAGCACCCCAAGAACCAAAACGTCTAAGTAAGCGGCAATGTTTATCTACTGTCTATAAAACCCCCTCTTGAAGAAAGAGGATCAAGATCAATAATCAGTGTGCTTCATAGCTGTGCCCGTAACTGCATTCATCACCTTCCCTTCGATACTTCTTCGCTTTTCTTCTGAGCGGCGCTTCCAATTTTCGGTACTACTTTTCGCCAATGCATGCAGCTTTTCTAGGCAGTATTGTATCGCCGTCTTCAACTTTCCTTCTGTATCTCGTTCCTGAAGGATTTCTTGTTCTTGTGCCGGTGATAAACCGCTCCCTGGACGTAGCCCGATCGCAGACGCATCAAAAATCCGATGCACCGCCAAGGTTCCGCCATCACCGGATTGGAGAAACATGAAGAATGGAGGAAGAAGATGAAGAATGTTGGACGAGAGCGATCGATATTTTTGTTCCAGAGGTCGTCAAATGCAGTAAGTAACATAACGAATAAGCAAATGAGAATAGAAGCTACGCTTCTCTTTAGTTTGCCACGCTTTTGCTAGAAAATCTATTGGAAAGCTCGTCATGGAAGGTCAGGCTGGAGCATCTCTTCTTTGCATCACAAACTCTAACTTCAATTTCTTCTCATAACAATATAGTGCTATAAATTCTATCGATACTAACTTAGTCATAACATATTCAGTAGTAACGTTTGGCGCCACGTTAGCTTTTTCGTCCAGTGATCCTTGAAGTATGAGAGCGCGGTCGAACCAACTGATACTGTGTTTCTTCGATAGCCAATGCTCCGGACACACCCACGGATCTGACCCCCAAGTGTCAAAGTCCCAATAGTTTCCTAGTGGAAAGAAGCTCCCATCGTCTTCGTCTTGCTCTGGTGTTGGGCCATTGCGATTGTTGTAACGCTCATGATTACGAGTTAGAGCTGCAGAAGATCAGTAGAATGAAGATTTATATATATTATGGATAATTGACTTTGAAGCAAACTCTTAACCCATTGGATCCACAAATCTTTCATAAGAAGAAGGACTGTTCTTGGGTCCAATGAAACGAACGCGCAGGACAAGGATGAGACTCTTTTTCGTACTACAACATGTACTTATATGGAATCGGATCGGAGACCAACTTTCTAACCATAAATTTGATGATGTCGATGAAGAGCGCGCTAAGCTCGTGCGACGCCTGTCATTGCGAACAGAGGGCGGACACGGAGCACACACACAATGCTGGTGATAGATGCGCGGACAGCCTGCGACAGCACAATGCAAAATTGCAGATTTTTTCGTCTTGCCAGAAGACGATGACGTACTAGAAGCCGATGCCTGCAATGTTCTACTCATCTCCTTCTCTTGTTGCTGCGGCTCCGTGACTCCGTCAGGACCAGGAGCTGCACCAGACTGATTTAGTACAATTACATTAGTGGAACTCTCGCTCGGCATAGGCTGCTCTCTATTGATAGTTGCGCCAGTAGCTGTTGTATTGGAGGCAGAGCTGCGATCATCAGCACCTACAACTATTGGGGAAGGCACGCTTACGACCGGCTTTTTCGCTTTACGACCCTTCCGTTCAGGCGCTTTTGGCATGTTCTTTCGCGTTGCTGAGCCTCCTCCGGCTGACCCTCTACGTTGATCGTCTTTACTAGCAATGTCAGCGTCCAGCTGGTTCTTGTCGTCTTCTGTCCCTGATCTGCTCAGCTCCGAACTGCTCTGCTGTTGGTCGGCTTTCCTCTCTAAGAGGTTCTGTTGACGTCCCTGTGCGGCCGCAGTAGATTTCGAGAGACTTCTCAGCTTGTTGTCGACTTCTATGGCCGGTTCGTGCCTATTAAGTACCCAATCGCAGCACGGCGGGGGTATGGCTTCCCCGCATTGGAAACAGCGGATGCGCCAATAGGGCGTATGATGACATGCTGGTCGTCCCCAATTAGAGGTTGACGAAACAATTTCGCAATTCATTTTTTCGTAGCAATCTCCAGTGCAGCCAGAAGGCTTGTAAAAATGAAATCTTTCAAGCCTTAACCCAAAATGCAGCACAAATGCGACCACCTTTTTCTGAAGAGGCCTCATCTAGATCTTGTAGTTCATCTGATTCAGTTTTAGACCAAGGGTCTTGTTCTGGTTGTAGTTGTGACAATGATAAAGGATGTTCTCTTTTCCTTGGTGACTCCTCGATTTCCAATGCTTGCGACAGCGCGGCCACTAATCGCTTCCGCTTTGCCTGTGTTTGAATCTCGGTTTCGAGTTCGAGCGACGGTCTCTTACTTCCTGGTGGATTAGAGGTCCAAGAACTAAGCGTAGTCGCGGAACCGGAACCTTTGTTCGTTTTACTCTCGCTACTGTCCTCAAGAGCTCCGCAGCTATCGCGGTCTCGACCTGTCGTGTAAACCATGGTCACAAGCCTGGACAAGACAAGACACCTTTGCGTTGCCGCATTCAAGGTGTATCGATTCATCATGCACTCGTTGCGACTGATGCACACTGTTCGCATCGAAGCCCCTGGGCTTCGAGTGCGTCTCTTAGCGCTCACCCCAAGCCATCTCGTGCCTGATCTTGGTGGAGCTGTTTTCGCCTTATGGGACAGCGCCAAGATGCTTCCGGAGATGGATTCGGGTAAGCCTTAAGTCTCTGCTGCGGACTAGAGCCGTGCTGCGCATGGTGACGCCCACCAGCTGATGTAGTAGCAGAAGATGACCCCTCTCCTATTGTTCTCTGCATCTTATCTTCTGCAGCAACATCCTGATCTTGTTCTCCTCCGACTTGTATTCTTTTCCTCTTCAATGACGCCGACGTCTGTTCTATATCAAAGGGAGCGTGACTGTAGATGTTGTAGTTCCCTTCTCCTTGTCCTCGACTAGTCATTATCTGATGTGGTCCTCGTCCTCGTGCCATCGATTGCGCACGTCGAGGATGACGCTCTAGTACTGCAGTGCTACTTTGATTTTGGACAGGAGCTCGGCCTTTCTCATCAGCTTCGACGAGAACCCTCCGAGCCTCCTTGGACTGCGCATCTAAAGGCAGTGGATGTTGCTTCTTGGCTTGAAAACCTAACTCCTGCAAATCTCGAACATACCGAGAGGAGTGCACTCCTAGACGGCTCACCTAGTAGAACAAGAACGGTGCGATATTTTTGAGAATTATAAGTCGATTTCGCTCGCATCGATCTCTAAATCCATACTTACATAAAAGCTTCTAGGACCCCGAGAGTCAGGACACCAGTTTGGACATCCTAGACGAGATAACTACATCTATTTTCACGACGCAGAGCTCCTGTGCCTACACTTCATTCACCTAGCGGAGGAAAAAGAAGTCAGAATACAAATCATCATGTGCTTAGACTTACCTCTACCAATCTACTACTACTTGTAGTTAAGTACCTAGTTTAAAAAAACGAGTACATTTTTAAGGCAATCGCTGTGCAGGCTGGTGCTTTTTCCAGAAAGTAGCTCTGCTTCTTGGATGGCCTCACGGCCTAAGGCGAAGTGGTCGCATTGATCTAGCAACTTTGATGCGTCAAGAGAGTTGTAGATGGCGCGCAGCCACTTCGGTGTGTCAAGGGACCCCCCCTGCTGCGCAGCCAACAGAGACAGCTCGCTGAAGACTAAAAACGGCCGAAAAGAGTTGTTACTTCTTCTCTTCATGACTGCCTTGTTAATCCTTGTCGAAGTAGTTGTAGCTGTAGCAAAGTTGTTTTGGTCGCCGATGACACTTGCCGCGATTGACGACGGTGTAGGAGCTGTTGTATTTCTATTTACTAGTGTACTCCCAGTCCCTGTCGTACCTATAGCGTGATGACCCTCATTTGCAAACAAACCCGGTGACAGCAACAACTTACTCTTGTAGTCGTGTCGGAGGCCTTCTTGAGAAGTTAACATCAGAGGGGTATAACCACCCGTGGTTTGGGGAGTAAGTTTCCATGGGTTTTGGGTTGGACGCGCGCTTGTGAGCATGAGAATTTTCTTCGGACGCAGGAATCGGAATTGCTGATATTGCTCCAGTTGGAAAATGTTGGCTCGTAGTCTCTCATGCTGTTGTTGCTGTTGATGGAAATAATGCTGTTGCTGCTGATGAAAATGCCGTTGCTCCTCCAAGTTTTGCTCGTTCTCTAGTGGCGTTCTTGTAGAGGTACTAACAGGTACAAAGTCGTTAGCATTAACATTTTTGATGCTGTAGTTATTTCTCGTCTGGCTCTGGAGGTGGTTAGTCGACTGGAAGTGAAGTTGCATTCGCATTCTGAGTTCCTGATCAAGGTTTTGTTGTCTTATAGACTCCTGATCCATAGTTCCTGATCCAGGAGGAGGCAACAACATCCCAAGACTCGTACTGCTAGCCGATGAGGCGCTTGTTTGATCGTCGTCACTTCTTGTTGCACCACGTGAAACGGTCGAAGTAGATGTTGCACCACGAAACGTCGCGTCTCTCCTTGTTGCAGGACGGAAGCTCGAAGTAGATGGAGCGGCACCGCGACTCACACTCGCAGTTCTCCTGGTGGTGTACGTGCGACGGACTTGACTTTGACTTTCTTGTGAATAGGAATAGCTAGCAACATCAGAAAGTGTTCGAGACGCCACTTCCGTTTCCACGACATTCTTGTAGTCTATAGGTAGGGAAGAAGACTTCGAAGTAGAAGTTGATGGTTTCCTCGCCAGTGAAGGTGCGCGTCTCGATCTTGAGGGGGCTACCGATTGTCCTCTTTTAGGAGCTACCGATTGTCCTCTTCTAGGAGCTACTGATTGTCCCCTTCTACTAGGATTCCCTGCTCGCTGTTGTGGCCCATCTGTGGTCATTGACGTTTTTCGTTTTGTTTCTGCCGGAGGTGAAACTAGCACTCGTCCTGTATAAGTGCCTGGAAGACCTGTTCCTGCATACGGATTGGAATTCTCTTGTGAGCCGCTTAGTGGGTTAAAATTCGTTAAAGTTGCCGTCGTTCTAGAGGTAGACGAAGTCGCATCTCTTCCCCCAGTCGACCCGGAAGCGCTCATCGCGCTATCCTCGCTCATTTCCTGCGCCGCTTTTAGAGCTAACCATATAAAAATGATCCATCTTGAAGAAAGCAGTGATCTTTGAGACGTTTTCCCTCCTTTTTTAGCGAAAAAGGTTCCAAAGTTACATATTATAGGTGCTTCTCAACAAGATGAAGTACGGAATGCCTTATTACAAACATCGCACTCATGCTGCTCGTCATACTCGACTGTTGGTTCTGCATCATCTGGGCAACACGTAGGGAAGCGCGACGCCCATCACTGCCCACGATCGAACCGAACTTCTGTCTTTTCAGTAGCGGGCCTCCAGCAGAACCAGAAGTAGAGCTTGAGCTCGCACTTCTTGCACTAAGATCAGCAGGCGCCATCTTCGAACTTCCGCTCTCAGTTCTTGCACTAAGATCAGCAGGCGCCATCTTATCGGCTATCTCCGGGAAAAATACAGGAGCTGGCGAAGATAGGTGCACCTTCTTAGGTCGTACTCTCTTCTTAGCAGGAGGCGATAGGAACACCTTCTCGTCAGCTGCTGCTGATGATGCCGCGTTCTCTATACCGTTTTTTGGGATTCTTCCTCCTTGGGAGGATGAAGAGGACCCTTCTACTACCTCCATCTCAAGGCTTCTCCTCACCAAAAGCTTGCAACATGTGCATACCTGCCTCTAAGTAGTTTAAGTTGCTTGTAGTTGTATATGGTCAATATAATCTTCCACCATGATGAATGATCATGCGATGTCGATCATGATACGGATGACCATGATGAGCTCCTATTAGTACCAAGCGGCTAGTGCGGCCTGTGTAAAAAAGTAGCCGTGACGGTGAAGCAATATTTTCTCATGAAAAAATGACAAAAGTTTGGGTGGTGATGAATTACGATCACAAATTGAAACCTAAAAAAAATGCGTGAAAGTTCGTCACACCGAGTGCGTTTTGTGGCAACCAAGGGACAACGACAAAGCTTGTTCGAGGAAAAGAACTTTTCAAGTAGTCGTGGGGGAAAACAAGAACCAAATCGAAAACTTGAACTTCTTCTAGCTAGTAAAAAGTGTTTGCCGGGGACGAGGAACATCTCAGGGAACTAGGCTCCATTTGCGCTTTTTCTCTGAAAATATTCTGACATGAAGAGACTTCTGAAATGAAGAGACCGAAGATTTCTGGTTTGTCTTTGTGCAACAGTAATGCTAACGCAAACACTTCGTAGGTACCAGATTTCAACTCCAAAGACATGCAAACACTTCACCGAATCCGAAGGTGCCACCTCTGCTTTTGCGCCACCTCTACTTTTACGTGCTGTACATTGTTAAGGGCGAGAAATGACAGCGCTTTTCTATTTTTTAATACGCTGTCTCACTTTTTCCTGACGCTTGGCGAAGTCGAGCATATTTCTGACAATATTGACTTCTGCGCTCCCTTCTTGGTCGTGGGTAAAACCATCAACCAATAAGACATCAAGACATCAAGACAGGTGATTGTAGGTTTGTCTCTTTCCTCTAGTGATTTGAGCCCAAAAAGTGCCTGCTCATGCGAGCAAAGGTTTTTACTTTTTAGAAAAGATCATGTCAACTTTCATGTGAGAGCGAACGATGTAAGAAAGTCGAAAGACCAAGTATAGCGAACACGCGGTTTTTTTAGATAGGATGTTGGAAGAACGAAAGATATAGAAATACCGAAGCACATGCACCAGAGGCAAGCTAATTCTGGGCTTCAAAATCATCCTGCTATGATTGTAAGAATCTATTGATGAACTTCATAATCAATGAATCTACTTATCATAGAAAGGTGGGGATATAAGAATATGGTGCTCTCTAGTCGAGGGCGAGTAGACTTGTGGAATGAATCGATGTCGATGAAGACGAAGATGAACAAACATCAACATGGAGAATGGCGAAGAACCGCTGGTCCACATTATTATGATTAAGAATTCAGTTCAAATTTGCACACAGGGCATTGCGTGCTGTATCGAAGCCCATTCGTGATGCACTCGGCGTGAAATCGATGAAAGCAGGGAAGTCGTCGCAAGTGCTCACCCGCTTGAAACGGGCACTGGCAAATAACGCACAGCTCGGGCTCCGGACTCGACTCCAAATCGACCACCGAAGGCGCTTGGACATACATGAAAGGAGAAGATTATATAAGGTAGAGCCTTACTGACCCTGTACTTGAAGAGCTCGTACAAGTTGGCGCTCGCTATTAGTTGATCTTAATCTTCATTGATTGATGGAGTCCAACTTGTTGTTGCTGGAGGATGCAATCAACTCATTGTTGTTTTTACTGAAGACAGCACCTACTTGATGCTGATTGATGAAGCGAACTCAAAAATGAGCGACATCTTATACTGTAGTAAGCATTACATCTTCACAGTAGCGTGTGAACTTGAACGAGAACGAACCTGAGTAAAAAATATCCTGAGCATAAACGTCTCCTCTCCGCACTGCGCCAAGATGCGATTGACGGACGAGCTGCTTTGCGCACCCCTGCGAGGATAGGCGGCATTGATTTCATCAGCATCGAACGGATCTACCACTAGTCTGCCATCACGTCCTCCTCTATTACCTCCTCTTCCAGCTCCTGCGTACCCTCCGCCTCGGCTGTAACCTCCATCCGCTAGTACTTGCATATACTCTGCGAAAGGATCAGCTCTTCCATGCCCATCATCAGCATCGTCATCGTCATGATCCTCATCATCGTCATGATCCTCATCATCGTCGTCATCCTCATCGTCATCAATGTTTTCGAAATTGAACAGCTGTTCGAAGTCGAAACCGGCGTTGCGCGACCCTGGCATGCCCATAGCGACGCGCGGTCGAGCTGCGGACGACGAAGACGAGGATCCGCCACCAAAGGAAGCAAACGCATTCCTCATGTACTCACGCATTCTCGCCATTTCGCCTCTCACTCGTGCTTGTATATCACCTACTGCAGCTGCATTCGAGGAAGAGGACGCGGCACCCCCGCCGACTGCTCTGACGTTTATTCTCTGGACGCGTGCGTTGTTCCGAGCCGCGGCAGCAGCGTTTCCAGCTCGATTAATGCTTGGGACGGCTCTTGACGAAGATGTCGCTCCAGAGGCCTGCTGTCCTGGTCGTAGCCTACCCGCGCCACCAGAAGCGTTCCCGTTGTTTTCTTGGGACTCGTGTTGCTCTCCTTGCAATCTTATGGCTAGAGCGTGATCCTCAGACTCCTGCTGGATGCGAGCGACATCAGCATGCCAGTCGGGCATATCGACATCGCCGGCTTGTGCAACATTAATAGAGTCGGAAAAATTAGAGTCGGATTTTCTTCATCTCGGTCCTCCCCTCATCTCACTCCCTGTTCCGTTGCATTCTTCTATGTATGAGAACAAAAGGAAACTACAACCGAAGAGATGCGGAGAAAGATGGATAAGTTGGTTTAAGTATAAGAGCTGAACATAACATCATCTCGGACTTGATTAGCTGGTGTGCTGGGCTCATCATCTGATGGATGCATCTCCATGCTATCGTCTTGCGACTGCGTCAGCCCAGCTGCACGCCGGGCCCGACGAATGCGCCGTCGGGCCCTTAGATGCGCCCTCCGCAGTTGCTCGTATCGCACACGCTCGTCCATCTGATGTCGCAAGAATTAAAGGTTACCACATTACATCATTCGTCATAACATTTACCATATCTATTACAATTACATCCGTCAGACAGAATATGAATATCCTTCACCTATTTTCTACTAAGTTGAGAAAAGGATGCTAGTAATAGTATAAGGGATGGGGATGTATGTCAAGCTCAAGGATGCTATTAAGGGATGGGGAGAGAAGGATGCTAGTCGGGGATGTATAATGTGGAAACCCTTAAAAGAAGTCACTACTGCGTGCAGCCTGCAAGTCGGCGCCAGCCCGAGCTGTCTCTAAGAGAAGCACCGTCCCCCCATGAGGCCACAGAGACGAAAACGAAGACAGAGCGTTTCCCAAATTACTGGGAGCGACCGTTTCCCGGGGGATACAGCTTGATATAACCACCTGGTTGTACAATAAGAAAGTATTGAAGACTCATTTGGTCAACATAGTATTTGAAGACTAAGTCTTGATCGCGATAGTTCTTTTCTTTAAGAGGTAGTTCTAGTTTTTAGACGTCGATGAAAGGGCACAAATAGCCTCTCGATAAAAAACGATGAGTAAAACTAAAGAGTCTAGTCCTCCGCAGGATAGATACCGTGTACAGCTGGCGACCTTCCTCTGTGCTTATCGCGGGAAAGGCTGACTCGATGAGAACTTGTAGCGGAATATCCCCCGCGCCGCTGTTATTGGGATCGAACTCGTGTGAGTTCTCGATTCTGCCATCGGGCAGGCGAATGCGTAACCTGCGTAACCCTGAGCGTGGTGGACCGTCGCTTTGGCGGCTCGCTGCGGCGTTCAAGGCTGGTGAAGCGGCTGATGCTGACGAGTCGTCATCATCTAAAACAATCACTTCATTACCTCCTCCACCAGTAGTTCTTGTAGGAGCACCTATTATACTCGCGCTAGGAATAGCAATAGGAGCACCAGAAGGCGGTGGACCGAGAAGAGCAAGAGGAGACTGTGGTCGGCCTTGTGCTCCACCTTGTTGCTGCGGTTGTCCTCCACCAACCCCAAGTCCTATGCTGCTTGGCGCTTTCGCCTGAGTCGAGTTTGAAGTCGACGAGGACGACGACCCGGCTCTATTTCGCGCTTGCTCGACTGCATTCCTGTTATTCTCAAGGACGTTGGTTCTGGAGTGAAACGAGACGTTCACTTGGGCTCGAGCTTCCCTTAATGCTTGCGCTGCTCTTGCATCTGCTAGGATGCGATTCCTTTCTTCCTCCTTTTCCCGCTTTTTGCGTTCCATCTCCTGCTTCTTTCGTTCTCTTTCCTCTGGAGACATGCCTGGGCCAGTGTAGGGCACGGCGCGGGCACCAGAAGACGAGGACGACGATGCAACCGCGGCGCTGTGGCCAGAGGATTGAAGCTGTTGAACTCCAGACAGCGGTGGACTACTGCCTCCATGATGGGCAGATGAAGCAAGATTCGACGCACTATTCGACGCAGGCGCGGTCAACATTTCAACATCGCCATCCTCGGCAATGGTGATTACATCTGGCGCCCTGGCTGGTGGCGGGACTGGCCTGACTTGTTGCTCAGCCGGAACGTCCGTTTGACGCAAAATGAGACCCGCAGAGGCACCTCTTAAATCCGGCAGCGTACTCAGGCATGCGTTCCAATCGGAACTAAAGTCGGTCCGCGGCGGATAGGCCAAAACCAGGTGTGGAATCGTGTGGTCGCCACTGCTTTCATCGGAGGTGCATATGGTGACTGGAGGCTCGCCCTCTCTCAGTTGGTCTGATGGCACGATGTGCACTGTCGAAAACTTGTCCGGGTTCTCCTCTTTGAACTGGCGCACTACACCCACCAGCGTGGTCGTCTCTGAATCAAAGTGCAGGTGTCCACGATACGTCTTGTAGGCCAGCGTAACTCGTGTCTGCTTGCCTCCAGCGCCATTAGCAGGTGGAGGCCCACTAGATCCTGCAGTATCAGTAGTTGTTGCGCTTGCTGCTGCATTGGTATCAGACTTGTTTTTTATTGCTTCAATATTTATTGCATTTCCATTTCCAGGAAAGGTTCCGGATGAAGCCGCCTGCTCCCCAGTGCCAGCTGCAATGTCCGATCCACGATCTCCTTCTTCCACTGCTTCCATGCGCTTCGCAATAGCTTGCAGCCTTTGTTGTCGTGTCTCGTCTGATTCCTCTCTGAAGTCGCGCGGACTTTTGGATGCTGCTTTTCGCTTGCGCGCGTCCGCTTCAGCCTTTTGCCTGCGCTCAGCCTCTTGACGTTCCTCTTGCGCGCGTCGCAGAATTTCCTCACGCTCAAGCTCTCGCTTCTTCGACGTAAGCATCTTCGGCGGGCCACTGGGCGCCGCGACGTGTCCTGCGGGAATACGACTTTGCGTCGAAGAAGAGGACGCACCAGCAGAAGAGGAGGACGCTTTTGCAGTTGCTGTAGTCGTAGAAGTACCAGTTGAAGAAGTAGCCTGAGCTGGTCTACTCGTTGCAGCAGTAGAGGTGGAATTCGCAGGTCTGCTGTCTTGGCCAGAAGAAGTTGGGGCTGATCCTCCCGTCTGAAATCGTTTCATAGCAGCTTCGCGCGCCTGCCGTCGAGCTTCCTCTTGCTCTTCCTGCGTTCTAGGTGGTGGCGGTGGCTCTTGAGGAGCGTGGCGATCCCGCGGATGAAAAGCGCCGCCTCGACGTGCAGGAAAGATGCCCTGTCCCGCAGCGCGCGGGTCGAATTGCCGAAAGAACGCTTCACCAAAAGGGTCCTGCGAGTCGTCTTCGTTGTCCTCTGAGTCCGCCCCATGTTGGAAACTTCGAGCGTCCTCCATTTCCGCATCCTCGCTATCTTCATCATCGTCAGGACCTTCCGGCGCCGCACCGCGACGACCCCTTGCAGAACTTGTCACGGCCTCCGCTGCTTGCTGATCCGGACTCGGATTGTTCGACCCTTCTACCACTGGTGGCCTATCGCAGAGAATGAGAACCCCACTAGGGACCACACCGGCATCGGCGAGAGTGGTGCTAGCGAGCTCGCTGACTTCCCACTTACGATGAGGCGGGAAGGCTTGTCGCATGCCAGTCGGTGCGTTGGTGGCTGCGCGATGGCGGCGCGCCTCTTCGATGATGCGCATAGTATGTTCGCGAAACTGATCTGTAGCCCCAGGAGCAAACGGGATAGCACTACTCGTCAGCTCACGGTCTGCGAAATCGAAGACCTCGAGTAAGAACCAACAATAAAACAGCAAACGACCTAGTACTTCTAATTCAATTTTTTACAACTACCTTCGAAAGATCAATCAGTAGAGTAAGAGTTAACTAAAAATTACGATCTCTAGTATAACCAAGTACGTCTAGTAAAAGTACGTCTTTCAGTGTGCTGGACGCGACAAAGGCAGTTGTATTCACTGTTGTTCCCTTCACCTCGGATCGCACTTGGAGACGCACGGGTGCATTTGCTGGCGCGACCTCTCTACCGGCAGGAGGACCAACGCGCGCCGCCGATGCTGCTTTCGCGGCTGAACCGGCCGAACTGGTCGCACCTCCAGGGGTTACCTTGTTTAGTGTAGGGTTTTCTTTGTGGAAGTACATTCTTGGAGACGTCTAGCATGAAAATTAGTAATATTCATATCTTCTACCAGTGCCACTCCCTAGGAGGATTTTTATAGATACAGAAATATAAGTGGTAGTTGTACATGCACTTCGTTGTATGCATTTCGGTCTGCCTCAAAGCGTTCTCTTTCGAGCTTTTTGTGTTCTTCTTTGCGCATGCGCTTTGCCGCTATCTCGTCAGCTCTTTTTTGGCGCTCCTCTGGCGACAGACCGGCACGAGACGAGACTGCTGCTGCACCAGAAGCGGACGCCCCTGTAGAGCCTGCTATCGCTGGATTCGGACGAACGGGAGCTTTTGAAGAAGTAGTAGGGCTCGTTGCAGTAATGGGTAGAGTCGGCTGTGACGCGCTAGCCCCTGCGGTGGCACTGGTAGAAGCTGCGGCAGCAGAAGCATTTGCGGCTGGAGCAGCTGCAGCAGCGCCTCCTCCTACGGCACCTGCGGCGGGGCTCATTTGCAGCCTGAGTTTCGGCTGCTCCGGTCGGGGCGTCTCACACGCATCACAACGCTTGAGCCCAGGGGGGTTCAATAGCGTGCATACCTGGCATTGCCAGTGGTCAGAGTCGTCGGAACCAGCCATGTTGATCAAATCAATGAAAATAAGTACTAAAAACGTATTTCATTAAATGAGAAAACGAACCTAGTCCTAGAGTTAGTAGTCGGATAGCTTGTTATTCATTGGTGAAATCCAAAATGTCGAGGACAATGGCAACGGTACAGTTGGTAAGAGATGCTAACTACAACCGAATACGTTTGACCACTTCGGACAACAGGTTGGGCTCTGTTGAATGATAGAGGCAAAAAAAATGGGGACACGGGCAGGGAGAAGGCAATTTGTTCCTACCTATACATAGCCTTCTGCTTTTGTTCCTACCTTCTGCTTTTGTTCCTACCTATACATAGATCAAGGTCACGCCGCTTTCATTACAGTTAATATGGACTCGGTTTTCATCATCTTCTCAACCTCATTCAACTATATCTTCTAGAATGGGAGTCGTTCTTGCAGGCAGGTCAACACAAGAAAACAACATGGTAGTGTATAGAATCGTAGAGCATAACTCATTCTTGAATATCAGCACATCAAACGGATTGATCAAGGAATCGAAAAGGCTGCAACAATACGAAGCTCAAGACAGGACTTAAAGAATTATATGTAATCGAGTTTTTATCATCTTCATCTACATCCGAATCTAGATGCTCTTCGACTTGTTACTTCTGCAGTTGCTCCTTTTTCTTCTACACAACGCTGCATGAGTAAAGGAAGGTTCTGACCGAAGATGGCGATGCTGTTATACCACTCGTCACATGTAGAGCAGTGTATGAGCAAGCCATTTGCTCAAGGCTGCCTGATTTGCGACATCGACGCTTGCCAGTGCCAGTGCTACGACGGACTTAAGAATGATCACACTTCAGAAGTACTGGCATTGCTTCGAAGATGTGAACTGCAGCTGCCACAAAATACAAATAGTATGTTGCAATCTTCACACTTATTCATTGTGGACGGTGCATTTCTTCGAGAATGCGGTTACTCGTGCGTGGATGAGTGAAAGTTAATGAACCTAAAAATTTCGACGTTCATCTTATGCAGAAAATGGAAACATATTCATTGTAGTTTGTATAGATACTTATTTCTTATATATATTATAACTTTTTTGTGAAAGACGCCTCTAATTCTTTTGGTGCTCGAAACTTCTGGAGAAGCAAGAAACTCGGGTTACTAGAATTGATCAGCTTCATCAACTTTTATCGATTTTTTTAGCATTGACTGTAGCTGATTATTGCTCATGTTCCGCAGTGCGTCATCTCGTAGTACGAGTAATTTGTACCCGAACTGGCGAATGATTCTGTGCTTACACGCCGTCGCACCGTCCTGTACTTTATCGGTATGATAACCTCGCCAGGATGATGGTGAAGATTTAGGTTGCTCGCTGGTTTTCGAGTCTTCACTGCCTTCTTTCTCCTCCAGCATACCACCAAAAGAAGTCTTGTATCTATTCTGCCAATCGTCGTGGTCTTCACCCATCTGGGTTTTAAGCGTAGCCTGTTGTACAGCAGCGCTCCCAATATCGTCCTCCGCATTTGTTCCAAGGCGATGTAGGAAGTGCCTGGGCCCATCAATTTCGACAACAAGGTTTAGATTAGGCACCAGAATATCTACCAGAATGAGCCCGTCCGATCCTGGCAACGGCGCTTCGCTTTGTACTTGAGGCTTACTTGGTACTAGACAAGGTGCGGCGCGACAGCCTTCACTTCCACCTAAATCACGAAGGTCCAGTTTCCCAGTCGCTTCAGCTACCCGGATATGTGCCCATGAGCTGCAAGGCTGTGTTCGTCTTCTCCCTTCATTGTGCGTCGAACGCGAAACTGGTGTTGAAAGGATACCTTTATGAGGAGCACCATTACCTCCTGCTTGCTTCTCTTTTTCCTTGGCCAAGCGTAAACAAAGCTTCACATACCCGAGTTGCGTAGCTTCCGTTGCAGAAATGAGATGTCCTCGTTCCAGCGACGAAACAGATAAGGACGAACTGCCAGCGACTTCTTCTAGAAACCGACGTTGATACATCTCTCCTGCCATTGCGCAATCCCCTAACAAACACAGACTCCACATCTCGCAGACTGTGTCTCGAATCGTGTTCATCACGTTGGACCTGGAGCTGGAGGAAGAAGCACTTCTATTTCCTATGCTCGAGTTCGACAAACGACTTGTTGAGGCTGAGCGTTCATCAACAACATGTTGGCCGCCAAGCAAAAGCTTTTCTCGGTATTGCCAAAATATTTCTGGCTGATTCAGCACTGCGAGTGCGAACAGGGTCGAAACGCGGTCCCTAGGAGGTATTCTTGAGGCGCCACGACCATGATCGTTCAGCCTACAGATATTGTGCACTAAGACGCCGATCGTTTGCTTTCGTGGTAAAACCCGACACTGGGCAAAGGTATACATGCACATGGCAGACAAACTGCTTGCTAGTGCGGGATCGATACTGGTGCCCGGCTGCTCCATCGATGACGAGTGGTCACTTTGAAATTCTGGTGCTCGTGCTCCTTGTCCTAAGTAAAAACTTCTACCCGATTTTTCTACTCCAGCTGCTCCTCCATGTAGTCGCTCCCCCGCTTCTCGTCTTAGCAAACGCGGAAGTATCTTTTCAGCGACAAAGTGTAAAAAGTCCATCGTTTCCCGCGTACACCCTGATTGATGCCGATGTTTCCCTTCTCTGGACACTGCCGCCATGAGCGTGCGCAACTCGCGCGCCTCCCACACCTCGGTTTTTTCGTAGGACTTTGTTGTCGTCTTTCCGTCAGTAGAACTCGAACTCATCAAAGTAGGATGAATTGCAATTTCCTCAATTTTCTTCACACGGCGTAGAAGCGCAGGCGTCATAACAGTCGCTTCTGCGCTGTCACTGCTCCTGCGAGCAAAATCCCTACCTTCCTCAGTTGCCGACGAAGCTTCATTTAGCATGATCACCTGTCGTTGATGCTGTGGCTCAGGCCTGCTTCCGCGGACCCCAGAAGATTCTGGAAAGAGAATGCGAGATACTGCATTCGCGTAGTTTGCTAGTCCGAGAGGGGCAAAGTCTAGAGAATCAAAGAGTTCGCGATTGTGCTCTGTGAAAATTCGCGCCGCACATAGAGAAGAGATTCCCATTCCAGAAACACCTCTAGAAGTGCTCGCAGCTGTAGCTCTAGCTTCCTGTAGTTCTTCATCACAATAAAAGTCTGCAACGGTAGTCAGGAAGTTCGAGACGGCTCGTGGAACTGGCTTTACTCCATTTTGATTCCTCACAATACGTGCAGCAGCAACGAGAACGCTCGAGAAGAACTGCCGATCGGAGTGTCCCTCAACACTGCAACGTCCACTGCCGAGTTTATTATTATTTCGATTCTTTTTCCAAACTCCACAGCCGTACAAAAGCTGCGTTAAATCTCCAAGAGAGCACTTCTCAGCGGACAAATCACGATCGCTTCGCAACACTTTTTCTTGGACAGAAGCGAAGAAGTCGGAAATACAGTAGTTGATGTTTGGTATATTAGACCTTACTGACTTATATTCTTCTTGAAAGATCATGACTGGCATCTTTGACGTGTTTCTCCCTTGAAAAGGGAGACAATGATGCTTCTCAAGACGAATTGAGGCGAGCCTTAAGAATACTGGCGACATCAGGCCTGCTCCCTCTAGTACCACATGTTGACCTCTCACTTGTCAACGCTATATACAGTTTTCCTGCGGCCCATGTCGCCATGCAAAGAGCGCGGGCCGCCGTTGCCTCCACGTCCTTCAGCTCTGTTGCCTTGTTGAGAATTTCTAGTGCAGCGTTCCATTCCTCTCGGCGTACAGCTGTCCAAAGGGCCATCGGCCATTGCTCTGCTATGGACGTCTCCGGTCGTGACCTCGAATCGAAATACGTTTCTCCGGTGTGCCGCACATGCACCCTTGCAGAGGAGTGCAGTCGATCGGTATCTCTCTCCTCTACTCGAGGTACTGCTTCCGCAGACGTGCTCACTGCCGTTGTCGAGTAGAGGCGGCATCGGCCGCGGCAAGCCCTAGCTCTCTGCAAGTGAGAGCAACGCATGAAGCTGCGTGCGCGGTATGCTGGTAGCTGCATGTCTTCGAAGTCTGCTTGTAGGTATGAGCCATGATGGTGATTTCAATTCTCCACCCAGTAGTTATCTAACATTTTCATTCATTGATATGGAAATAACAACTACACTTTCGCTGGATTTGGTATCCTTCGCGCCTCTTTTCATCAGTCTCCAAATTTTGATTTGTTACTCTCAGACATAAATATTCGGACTATCACAAGTGTAACTTTTTTCGTACGAGATCTATGACAACTCCAAGCTGATCGTCACTTTTAGTCAACCTATGTAACCTTAGAGTTAGAACGCATTCTCGCGTCACCTATTCATTTCATCCTTCTGAGACTTGCCTTACCAATAAAGGATGCAAGCATGAAACACTTGGCAACTACGCGCACCTTTAAAGCCCAGCTCTGGCGTTTTTGTCTCGCGCGGAAAACATTTCTCGTTTTCTGCAATGACATCTTTTGCTTTATCTCACAAAGTTGGACTTTGCAACCTCATGCTTAGCCTTGCAGCTGCGTTCTTATTGGCATCAATCTGCGTCAAGTTTGGTAAAAGGTACATACATCTGCTAAAGCTAAAACTAAAACATTTACATTAACATTCACTTTGTTCGTTTGCTGATAGTGATTATACGCTTGGATAGTATGTTCCACGATAATATGTCAATTTGGGATGTTCTGGTGAGTTTCGGAAAAGATAAATGTAGATGAACCACGTCGACAGAAAACAGTATTAGACTCTAAAGGTCTCAACAAGGCCAGTGCTGCGGTTCCCTACGTACGATGATCTTACCGCGTTCGTGGTCGATTTCGTAGCGTGACCGACAGACTGTTCCGCGTCTGTGCGTGCCATGGTACACTGTGAGGCGCTGCAGAATGTCCTGGCCGACCACAGCAACACTACTCTCCAGGAAGTCATGCTGAAACGAGAGTCCGTCTTTCAACAGTATGCCCAACGTCTCCTGCAGTAGATGAACCGGCTCCGCTTTGTAAGCGGCCGTGATCCGCTGCACGGATAATGCGGCAGGCAGTTGCCTCAGAAGAAGACCACGCACAACGCGAAGCAAGGGAGATCGCAGGTGAGACGTTCCACGACCACTGGAGGACTTGGAGCTCGAACTGTACACTACAAATATTTCGTGAAATATTGCAAAACAGAAGCTTTCGAGGTCGCGTGGATCCATCAATCGCCCACACCGTTCGGCGTACCCAAGAATATTCTCGACCACATCGATGATACCTCCTGCGGCTGCGACTGGGGAAGGCTCCTCCGATTCTTGTATCTGGTATCGTGATGGTGATGGTGATGTTGATGTTGATGTTGATGGACAACAGGATTATGAAATATTAGAGCAACTTTCTCAGAAACACAGTCGATCATCTGCGAGTCCTTGTATTGCTTAACTACCGATGCAAGGTTACAACTTTTTCTCCAGGCAAACAAAGAAGCCAACATATCGCAGGTGGGTGTCCACAGACAGACAAAGACACACGCAACCGCGCCCGAACCATCAGACTGGAGAACCATGCACGGCACCTCTTCCTCTAAGCGAACCACGACTAACAAAAAGGCTCGATAAATATGACCAGGCGCGACTGCCCCACCACAGCGAGACGATACAACAGTGCGCCCGGAGTGGACAACGCAACAACGCGCCCCCCCACAGCTGTTTGTGGCCCGGCCCAGGCCCACGGGTGTACAAAACTAGCCCAGCAAACGCCTGCTCTTGCCAGCGGCTGGCAGTGCCCTCCAACAACCCCCACGCGGGCCGCTGCGCAGCGCCCTGGTAGTTAGAGACGACCAAGCCCCGCGGCGTTTCATGGATGGCATAAGGATTGTCGCTCCTGTTGGTCGGTCTCGAAATACTGCCCCCCGAAAACACTCCCGCACTCTTGGCCTTGAAGTTCCCCACTGATCTCGAGGCTGGACCCTGCTGCAGCTGAAAGGCAGGGCGGCTTCTCGAAGATGACACTGGCTCCAGCGGGTAGCGGTTGCCTGCCATCGGCCCACCAGCCGTGACTTGGCGACGGTGGGCCCTCAACGACCCGGCGACCACCACGCCAGCCGCCTACGTTTTCCCCCAGAGAAACTACGAACGCCACGCCACACGCTCCCGTAGGCGTTTGTGTTATGAATGTGGTCAGGCTTTGCCTGGCTGCAGGTCGTTGCACCACCACAGCGCGCAGGCCTGCTCCCTCTTTACCATCCGGAATTTCCCCGAAAAGCACCCCACACCAGCGAGGGAAGACTGCGCCGGGCCTACCTGTCAGGCGCAAGCACTCTCGGCAGAGTCCGGCTGCCTTTCTACACGGTGCGACTCGCGCGGCAACTGATAGCACGCCGCGCCCAATGTTTCCAACAAAAAGGAACGCGTCAGGGACAGTTAAAAGTCGCAGAAGGAAAAGCCAATACCTTAGTGTTGCCTGCCGGTCGCTCGGCCTCGGCTTCGTCTGTTTTCCCCACGGCATCGCGAAGTTGGCGGACAAAAAGTTCGTTCGCTCTAGAGTAGTCGCCCACTTTCTCAAGAAGAAACGCCGCCGCGTCATTCAATTGAAATTGAAGGGCCATTTCCAGAGCCTCCTCGAGCGGCAATATAGCTTCGTGCTTGCGCAGAAACGTGGCGACTTCTTGCCGCTTGTACTCGCACATGAGGCGCGCAAGCGCAAGAACATGCTCCTCGCGAAAGCGCAGCTTTTCGGCTTCGTTCGCCCACTCGTGCTGAAAAAAGAGCTGCTCCAGGAAGCGGATACGCAGCAACGGCAGGCCACTGAGGCTCTGGCCCACACGCGCAAAACCAAACTTCGCGCCACCTACCAAACAGGCCTGGCAAGTCTCTTCCCGTGAGAGTCCGTCCAAGGTTTGCAAGTCTAAAGTCTCCCACACCATGCCCGTCTCGCGTAACAAGTGCACAACATACTCGAAAAACCCATTCACTGCCTTAGTCGCTTGCTGCGTAGAACTCCCTTGTCGTGATCGGTCAGCTTCGTTCTGATTCCTGCTTTGCGGATGACTGCTTAGCAAGTCCCCAGATGCCAATTGACCAGAACCCTGGAGATCCTTTGACTTTTGCATCTGCAGTCTGTACAGTCGCAACCTTGCGTCTACTGCTTGACGGTAGTCTCCTTTGGATTCGTGCAAGAACGCTTGAAGCCTCAGAAATCGGCGACGCTCGCACTTCTGTATCAGTCCATTCAGATCCCAGACACCATCTGCTCCTAACGATCCACGATTCCTGTCATGCTCATGGTTTCGTCCTCTAGAAGTGAAGAGAGCGTCTTCGCGGTAGGGATCGTACAGTCGCCCTGCTCCTTGCTGGGTGATGTGGTCTGCGGAAGGGTCTTCGGCAGCGGCCTGCCGTCGCTTGAGAATGGTCACAGCTAATTCCTCAGCTTCCTCCGGTGTACAGCACAGTGCTACAAAAGGATTCTTACTCCTGTCAACATCTTCTACTGCGCCATTCTTCGGAATCTTTGCAGGAGCTCCTCTACCTAGTCGACCCTGCGCCACTTTGGGAATTCTTTCCGCGAGCACGACTTCATCCGTCGGAACAACGTGATCGAAGATCTGATCGTCAACTAACGCATTTACGATTGAAGCGAAGAAGTCGTCTGTTCTGAGCAGCCCACCAGCGTCACCAAACGCCAAGCCTCGAGCGACAAACCATGTATACGCAATTATTGCGTGACGTCGGCGTGAGAGCTGTTCGGCATCTTTTGCTGTAATAGGAGCACTTTCCTCACAAGCTGAACTAAGAGAAGGCGTTCCGTAATAGCAGATAAGTCCCGAGTTCGCCGCTGCCCGCTGCGCTGTCAGACACTGTCGCAGTGCTGCACCCGCAAACAGAATCAGATCGTCACTATCGGTAATCACGCCGTCCGGCTTGATGCGCGCTGGCCCATCCTCCAAAGTGTTTTTCCTAGAGGAGGACGCGGCTTCCCCAAGAATCCTTGATCCGCCACGACTACGACCAGATCGGTCTACTTGCCCATTATTTGCTCGAGCTGCAACATCAGCCTTCTGTTGAGCAACCCGCGCCTCCGACACCGCTAACCCACAGGCTTCTCGAAAGAGACCAGCCCCTGCCGCAAAACACATAGCCAGCGTGCGGAAAAGGAGGACAGGGGAGAGATCCAAGAGCTTCTGGAATGTGTCTGGGGGATTCTCTAAAGGATCGCTTTTTCGCTTAGAAAAGATCCGCTTTAGTAGGTCTTTCACGGCAGCCGCGGTTGGCGGGTCCACGCCCGCAAGAAAACCGCCTCCGCCAAAGGTCGCGGCTAGGAAGTGGTACAGTTTCCGCAACAACAGAAACTGCGACAGAGCGGGCTCGTCCACATGCGCGAGGCGCAGGAGAGATATCGAAGACTGGTCTACAAGAATGTCAGAAACAACATGATCAGAACCCCCCGATGCTGCGGATGGGCCACTACTTGTTGAAATCTCGGTCGCAGGTTCATGCCTTCGCAGAATGCGCGTGCATTCGCCCACAAGCATGTCGAGAGGCGTTGTATAGTCTTGTGTGGCAATGTAGACGTGTATCAGAGCGGTGTAGCAACGGAACTGCGTCAGAATACGAATCGCCAGATTCAGATCCAGACGAAACAGGTCGTTGCGACTCGAAATTACGAGTCGCGTGAGGTGCAGAGCCGCAGGAAAAGCGCTCGGAAACAGGTCTACCTGCAAGTCTTCGCCTAAACGCACATTCAAAAAAGAATCTTCCTTCAAATGCGCGGGTAGGGCTGTGAAGATTGTTGCACTTGACTGATTCATCTGACTCTGCGTAGCGCTGTTATCCAAGAGTCGAACGAAAGTCGGCACGTCCAACAAGTTCTGGTTTGGCGATGGGTACTGTAATTTTCCGAAACTCTCCGTCGCAGCCGCCTCTTCTTCCTGCAATCGCGCTGCATAGGTTTGCAGCAAGTGACTGTAGACCTCAGGGTCTAGTTCCTTTACAAGATTCTTCTCCAGCAAAAGCCATCTCTCCAATGCCTGCAGGAAAAACAAGCGCTGTTTTGGCGAACTAAGACGCTCAAAGAAGTTTCGATAGAGCGCTTGATACTGGTCACACTTCAGGCAAACGGCGACGACGACCTCGATTGCGCTTTGGAGCAGCGTCACTGTTTCTTCCGACAACTCACCTCCACTGGACTGAGCTAGTTGCGCCTGCGATCTAGAACTAGAGTTTCCCGCGAAATTTGCGGACCTTTGATTTTCCTGCTGAAGTTGTCTCCTACGTAGCTCTCGCGCGTGCTGCAGCTTGAACTCTAAGAAATGCGCCAAGAACTTGCCGAGGCGGTCTCGGAGCATGGACTTGCGGACCTCCTCATCCGCCACTGGAAAGTCTAAGAGTGGCGTCAGCCTGCCGTCATAAACGTCTAGAAAAATGCGCAGAATCTCTACCCAGTGATCTTCGGTAGCCAAAAGCTCTACGAGTCTCAGCCAGCTGCTCACCTCGAGCTTCACGAAGCCTGGACTCGCGCACAAAAACAGTGGCCGATTTGCACCACCTTGCGCTGCTCCGAAACTTGTACTAGTGGATAGAGAACAACCCGCGCTTTTATTTGCGCCGCCATGTTGTGCAACACCCTCTGACATCGTGACTTCACCTCTAGAAGATGTACGACCGCCAAGACCTTCGACTGCGTTTCCCCCCAGAGAGATATTAGACTTCCCGTCGACCACCATCATCTGCTGTGAGCGTAGTTTGTTCACCTGCGACGCTGCTAGTCCAGCCAATGGGGAGTCTGGATCTCCCGCAGACGTGGTTCCCGTGATGAGCGGGGTCGTCCGATGAAACATCGAGCTTTTTTCCACCAAAGTATTCTGGAGGTCGCCAATGGTGTTTGCCGCTTGGCGCACGGTCGATGCTGTATCCGCGACCACATTTACCGTCGTCTGCACTGTGTTGCGAGCCGCGTCGCGCGTGCTTTTGGCAGCGTCCGCCACCACATTGACCGTCTTGTCTCTCAAGGCCGTCAAGAAATTGATGTTCATCCCCGCTCCTGCGATGTCGCCGTTCTGCTCCAAGAAAGATGCTCGCTTTTGACCTCCTTCGACATCGGAACCGCCGGCTCCTGCGGAAGAAACGGGTGGTCTACTAGAAGTAGTGCTGTCCTCTGACGTGGAGGTCGTGGCGAAGTAATCTTCGTCGGCTGAGGATGCCCGTCGACCACGACCTCCCGCAGAGGACGTTCTGCGAGGCGCGTGATCTCCCCCCGCTGTCTCCGCAGGGGAAGAGACTCCGTTCGCCCCGTTGTTACTTTGCGGCTGAAAAACGTGCAAACCGACCATGCAGACGATGGACTGGTGAAAACATTTTGGATTGCGTTCCACGATGGCGTTGTTCTCCACGGATGCGGAGGAGACGGAGTCAGGAATCGTCGCTTTCCGGTGATACGCTAGTTTGGACGTTGAGTAGTCTGTAGTACTCAATAACACGAAATGCTCATCAAACTTCTCCTCCTTGATGAACACCGAAGATTCGCTAGAAGGTACCAACGCAAGTCGGTCCTCGTCGGCAGAAAGCCCGCTGCTCGGCGGTGTGTCTCTTCGTGGCAGAATTCCAACGCTTTGCTTATGTCGCACTTGGAACAGATAAGCTTTCATGTCTCTGTCGAGCGCGAAGAGCGTTCCACTGTTGAACACGCGAATCGCACTCAGCGTCGACCAAAGCTGCACCTTTTTCAGCAGAATCAGCTGCCACTGCGGACTCGTCCCTGATACTTTTCGGAGCTCTAACGTGTAGAAGTACAACAAATCTTCGAAACTGGCGACCAACATCGCACCTTGGTACAGCTGACCCGTATCGTCGCGTTGTGAATCACCGGATCCGTCAGTTTCTTAGAATCGAAGATAATCTAGCCCAATGAAATCTCACTCGTTGTATGTAATTCAGGCACTTAGCACTTATACTTGATTTTCATGATAGTGATAGATAGATAGACAGATGGTTAGATGGCTAGAGAGATAGATCTGAACGCGTGGCATTGACTCTCTATCATAATTTGCTATCCTCTGACATTGACTCTCTATCATAATTTGCTATCCTCTGACCGCCACGCCTGCGACCTCTGGAAGTGAAGTGTTTGCGCATTGCTCCACCTATAGACTCCAGTCGCTCATTCATTGATGGGACGAAGGGTGCTCCTGGGGCTCGAATCCAGCATGCATCGAGCAGAGGTAGAACGTTGCTGCCAGATGCTGATATTGATGCTGCAGCTGCTGAGACGTCTCTATAGTCACGGAAGATTTCTCGCTGTAGGCGTTGCCACGTAGGGTGCATCGACACTAGAACCAGCGCGTGTGTGGTGACGAGAAGCATAAGTGCGCAATTCTCAGCATTTCGCATTTGCTTTGGCGTCAGCGCTTGACCTGGAGGAAAAGGCTCGTTGCTCTGCTCGTTCCACGCAGTGACATGAAAAGCGAAGGGGATCAGGATAGTGTTGCTGGATACCAAGCTAGGGGAAGCTAGAGGAAAACAAGGCATGAGCTGACATCATATTATTCAATATTATTGCGACTGCTGGTATCCTCGCTTATGGACTCGTATCCTAGAAGAAAGCTCCTCCACTTTGACTAGAACAACTGAACTTCCATGACGAGCATTCCATTTGTTGTCAACATAAGTAACAGTGTCGGGTGGCATGGTCAGCGCTGCTGTAGCCGGGTCAATCAGCATGCGTAGAGGTGTCAAGGGAAGAAGCTTTAGACAGACTCCCAGTTCCGCCTTCGTTCCTAGGGGTGATACCTCCACGTGCACGTCCATACCGAAGATCAGCTTGAAGGAGACATAGTGGATGCCTCCACTCGCATCACCAAGAACAACCTCTGTTTTGCTCCGAGGTTTGAACGCGACCGATACAATGCTACTCGTTGCTGTACTGCCAGTAGACATCGATGCTCCCTCAGAGTGTTGACCTTTAGCTTTACCACCATTCTTGGCATAAAGAAGCCCTCCTACTGTTCCGCCTGCCGGCCCAACATCCATATTACTGGCTCCCGAAGTCATCGACATGGAGTTATTGCTGCCCTTGTTGTTTGCACTGCTCGTGCTTGCAACTCCTTCAGAGATTGTGCCCATGGATGGTCCACCCGTCGTGTCTGTAGACGTGGAACCACCTCCCGCTCCGACAGAGGAGCCTCCTTTAGAAGCATTACTCTGCTGTTGCGGTCCGCCAGAGACTGAGCCACCACGTCGGTTTCTCGTGTCTCGTGCTTCCCGCGCTAGGTCCTTGACGCATGCCAACATCCTACCTGCATCAATCGCCCAGAGTGTTAGCCACCCGTTCGTGTGTCCGACACATAGCGTGGAACCGTCAGCGGAAAACGCCATAGAGCTTGCAGCAGCTAATATCTCCGCACTTTCGCCATCGCGAATGCTCTCCGTTGCAGCCTGCACATTGTACAACGCGCCCGTCTCACCACTGCGACAGTCGTGCAAAATCAGCGACCCCTGAAATAAATGTAGATGGATGATTTCTTGATAGATGATATGGCTCTTTGTGTTGAGCAACATCAACTCTGACTTTCATCACAGCATAGGCGTCTAGAGAGCAGCAGTGAAACACATGGAGGTCGACTCGCATTTTGTTGTGCCGCACATCATGCACTGTTTTGAGTCTCCTGACGACGGAAAACCGTGTGGTCAGTCAAACTCTTTCACTTTCGGTGACCTACGGCATGCTTATGCCTTATGAAATTGCGCACGCAAGGGCAAGAAGACCCCACCACAAGAAGTACCATGACTGTGCTATCCTCAGAGCCTCGAAAGTGTAACTGTAATTCTACTTCGGTTGCCTATGAAGATAAGATCGGAATTTTATGGTAGAGTCAATCAAGAATAAGTAGAACAGGAAAACAAGTAGAACAGAAAAGCTGGTGCTCGCACTGGCTCTGACTTGTTGGTAGGTCTTGCATTGTTGGGTGCCTCCGACACAGACGTCGACGATAGGCTCACCAAGCCCAAAAACTGAGCAAGGTCAACACAACATCGGTCTGCTTTAATGGCAGCCATAATTTTCAATATGGGAAGAGGCACGTACCTGCTACCTGAAAATCTGGCAGCAAGCGTGTTTCAAGTGCTCAACTTCCGAAAGATTCCGAAAAAAAATGCTCTTTCCTAGGATGAAAATGTACGCGGTACAACTACCGTAGTACCTGTCGTAGGTAGCTGTTGTACGTGTTAAACACGACAAGAACAAGAGCTTGAGTCACACGCCTCAAAGAACAAGTTTCAATTCAGTTTGTAGGTCGAAAAAGTCTTTTTTTTTTTTGTAGTGCCATGCTTATCCGAAAGGGAAGAGCTTGCATGTTTATCCGCGAAGCTGCCGGCGACGGACGGGGCTACTCCCCTATAGTATACGCTAAAATTTACCTTGCTCGTTCCCACGCAGAGTAGCGCTCGCCGATCATTCCCGCACATACAAACATGCGTCACCGGTGAATTGCCGGATAGGTGAACGTGGTAGCTCCTATGAAACTCGTCGCCGCCTTTGACGATGTTCTCGCTGACATCCAACAGCCGATCTAATTCAACATCCAGCTCGCAAGTCACCCTAGGAATGCCAGATCCTCCACGTCGTGCCACTTTCTCATTCCCGCGACCACGACCACGAGACGACGAACCATCATGATGATCCCCTGCTCCTGGAGTACCACTACTTGATACTCCTACTTTCTCCACTTTATGCTGGCCTGAATGTAGTCTGACACTAGGTTCCGGCTGGAGACGTCTCGTATACGAATTTTCGTGGAAGAAGGCCCACTCCTCTGGCGCGCTCCAGAAACTGCGGATCCCTCGCTCCGGCTGTGTGATGGTCCGCTCAATGGCAGTTGAACTACTACTTTTTGTTCTACCAAGTAAGCCTGCCGCTGTAGAGTCTTGCACCATGCTCGTCGACCGTGCTGCGCTTGTGTTGCTGCCTAGAATCGGCGCAGTTGATGATTCCGACGACCCAAGCACAGGAGGTGGCTCGGCTTTCATAGCTCTGCTTGTCCCTGTCAGGTCGCTCTTTGTCGAGGCACTCTGAAATTTCTCAAGCATCGCTGCAGGTTGCGTGCTGGGAGTCACTGTCGGCATGGTCTCCCCTCGTCGTTGGAAGCTTCTTATTGTTTCACTCAACACAGCTGGCTCGACGTCGACTGTTCTGGCAGTCTGCGCAGCTCCACGAGGCTTCAAAAAATCGTCATCCGCGGGTGCCTTCTTGGATTTCAAAGCGTCAAACGCACTCCGAAACTCTGCAACATCAACACTCTCACGGCTCGTTTCGAGAATTAGAGCAAGGCATACAGGAGGTTCTGAGAGAGATGTCCTTAGTGTATGTGATATTTGACATTGAAGGTTGATGAAGAGCAAGAGGGACAAAAACTTATAAACTTGGTACCCACTATACCCAGGAAAGGTGGATCATGAACATCTTTTAGGAGGTCCAGCATTAAATATAATCACAAATGCTTTTCATTTGGTCCTACATGCTTTGCATCTGGTCTACTCGAACTGGAAGATGTTAGAGCTGGACCACGCTTCTTCACTGAGAACAGGTCATCGAATGGATCGCTCCTAGACGGAGGCTTGGGCTTCAACAAGTCTGCAAAAGGATCCTCTCTGTTGGCCTGTGGTCGTTGAGTGATGCCAAAGAAGTCGTCTTCTGGCATTTTTCCGGATCCCAGTCTTGCACGAGTTGAGTTGGAAGACTCATCTTGGACTGCAGATATCGCGGCAGAGCTGCTAGACGGGGCTGGGATTGCCATGCTACGCGTGTTGACTACACCACTGCTGGCGTTGCTTGGTGCAACTGCAGAACCCTTCGGGGTAAGTCCCAACAAATCATCGAGACTACTCTTTGCAGCTGATGAGCTCCTCGCACGTGGCATTTGTGGTGCCTCTCTGGATGAAGTACTTTGCGGCTGAATTTGAGGCGCCGTTTGCTCCATCGGCCGCTGTTCTTCTGGGAAGGAGGCAAGATTAGTTGCGAGAAATGCTTGTGAGCCTTGTTGAGAAGCATCGCCGGTCTCACTCGGCTCAGGAGCCTTACTTGTCGACGAACTGAACAGCTCCAAGAGGTCATCGTCAAATGCGGTCGCTTTTGTTGATGATCGCGCACCAGGCGCAACACCGACCTTCCCAGCATGGTCAACTCTTCCTGCTGCTGTAGTCGCACCCTCCTGTGCGCCGTCTTGAAAGGAGCTCCAGGAAGGTCCGCTACTTGGCTCTTTGTTGGCTCCTTGTTGCAAAAATCGTCCGAAATCCTCATCTTCGTCGTCGTCTAGGATCTGCTGTAAATTCAATTTCGAATTAGAATCCGCCATCTGTTATGATCATACTTCTACTTATGTTCAGCCTCTACTAGTACACGCAGTCGGCTCCTCTTTCCTTTCATCGGGTCTAGGCACGGCGATCAGGTTTTTCAGATATTCTTCAGCACAGTGAGAGTAGGCGCCAGAAGTCTGCACCAAAATGCCGGGAATGTGCTACGCTCAGGGACGCTGCATACGCGCGTCTCTCCTACCTCGTCCTACAACTCCAGTCAGCACATTTCAACATCCCACATGCGCGTCCTCAACAGCCCACATGCACGTCCTCAACATCCCACATGCACGTCCTCAACATCCCACATGCACGTCCTCAATATCCCACATGCACGTCCTCAACATCCCACATGCACGTCGCCTTCGCAGACACCTAATCCCTGGCGATAAAAGAGAGCAGAGACAACTTCGCCACCTTGAAAATGGACGCCGTCATTCTGGTAACTAGTCTAGTCGACGTCACCGTCACGCGCGTTTTTTCAAAAAAACTAAACATACAACTACATTTGAAGTCTTGTATAATGTTAAAGTATACAACCTGTTTTCGATTCATCGAATGACCACGCAGTTTAATCTTACAAAGAACGTCAAAGAGCACCTGGTCGGAGCCTTTTCCGAACCAGATGAGGATAGATACCCAAGTCCCTGTGTAGGATACAGATACATCAAACACATCGTCTGACCTTCGGCTTTTTATCCTGCCGACAGCACCGGAGGATTGGAATTGAAATTGCAAAATTCGTGAGTGCATGAAAAGCATTCCGATTGTTAGATTCATTAGATGTGCACTGCTATCGTTAAGGCAGGGAGGTAGCGGTAGGTATGCACGAATCCATCGTTGCTTCATGCGTTCACTGGAAAATGAATTCATTGTTGCTTCAAAGAACGAAATTGCGATCGGGAATGTAGTGGTTATGATCTTCCCTTCGAAGGAAGAACGTGCAAGTCCAAGTGATTTCAACTGTAGTATGTTACTGTTTCTGAATGAGAATGCTGAGATCTTTCTAAAAATCTTCCGCAACGAACCCAATATCCCGAGTCCAGACCCCCAGTCCCAACCCGTCCTCCTTGCAGAGAAGTCAGTCAGAATACATCTCCCACACCTCGCATTACGGTCCGACATTTCGTTCTTTGCTGTTGGTTTTCGATCTCCCCTTGTAATAGATCGGGGTAGCCAGATGCTGTCGTTCTCTGATATCCTTAGACCTTACCGATATTCACCCTGAGGAGCATCTTGGTAGTCGTTTTCCCTTACAAAACGCTTTTAAGTAAGTAAGATGCTTCCCGAGATGAATATGAGTAGGCCTTAATATCCTCTGCTTCAACCTGTCCAACACGCTCTAGGATCTCCATCAGGGTAATCTTCGCCTTTGGCCGGACCATAAATTCCGCGTGCCCAAGATGCGGATACCACAACATCCTCACACGCGCATTTTGTGCTTAGACGATGATGATGTAATGAACATATATCAGACCATCGTAGATATGCTGGAAGGATGAAGATTATCATGTGAATTGTAGGATCATTAATATTATTATTAGGAGAAGGATAGACGGTCATCCACAGACCTACAGACGGCCCGGGGGGCGGAATCTGAAGCACAGCGACGCGTTAGGCAAATGCAGGAGAGTCCTAACAAGAGGCGCCGCGGTCCGGGTGCGTTTGCCGGCGCCGTCATGGTAAGTAAGAAGAAGCCTGAGACCTCGAACCAACACCGAAAAAGGGTAAGCAGGTGCAGCGGTGAAGACAGCAGGGAAGCATCGCCGGGGGCATTTAGTCGGAAGCCGGCGCGCCGCGCCAAGGCAGCCCCAAAGCGCCGGACCTCCCCGCGGCGAGCCGCGTCGTAGTATGGGGCGAGAGCTCAACGACAGCAGCAGGCCAGCACTTACCAGGTGCGCGGGAAGGAAGCGGCGGCACTCCTGCACAGTGCCGCCGCTCGCTCGTATTGTTTCCGAAAAGCCAATGCATCACTGACCACAACCCCCAGTCCCGTAGAAATAGCAGAGAGGTAAAACCGCCAAAAAGAAGAGCCAAAGCAGCGAAGGCAAGGCGCCAGCGGAGCACCACCAAAGGGCCGGAAAACCTAGACGCCACCAGGACCGTCTCCGAAGAGGTCGTCGCCCGACGAGACCGCCACGCCTGCGCCGCGGGAGCCCCTTGCCAAGGCGTTGCTCCAGTGGAGACCCTCCCGGTTAGGGAGGGGGGGAAGGGCATCGCCTCGCAGTCCTCCGACAGGAGCGAGTTCCCTGCGAAGGAAAGCGGCGCCAGACAGCTCGCAACCATACCGCTCCACCAGTAAGCGTAGAGGAGGTAGCCACGCCCCGACCCGTCAAGGGCATCGGAGTGCGCAGGTCATCTTTCGATGTTTCGCGCGGTAGTGTTGTCCCTATGGGACCCCGGTGACCAGCCGGGATTGTAGGATCATGTACATTATAGTTACTACATATGTCATATCATGATCATGTGCATTAGTTACTACATATGTCATATGATGATCATGCACATCATAGTTACTACATATGTCATATGATGATCATGTACATTATAGTTAATAGTTACTACATATGTCATATGATGATAATGTACATTATAGTTATACTACAAATGATCATTTCCTCATAATTTTGAGCGAATTTTTCTGACGGAAGGTAGACGAAAGCCTCACCTTGGGACGATGATCCAGGGGAAGCTGTTGTTGTTGCTCCGGCTGCCTCTCCAGCACTATCGTATTGCTTAGCAAAATACTCACGCTGCCGTCTGTTCTTCCTGAGATGCCACGCTTTCCACTTTTGTTTTCGCAGTTCGATCACTGCAGAAATCTGCGTTCGGACGCTGTGCGCAGGAATCATACTGTCACAGCCATGCAGAATGATGTTCGTCGGAAACCGGAGTTTTTCTGGCCACAGCACGAACTGGTTCCACGGGAATTTCCGCTGTAAGCAAGAGGCAATTGAAAATTCCTTCGATACAATGTAGTGTTAGAACAAGAGGTTGAAGAGGAAGCGTAAGCGTTTCATTTTAGGATAGGATAGGATGCCTTTGCCGACTTTTCACGCAAGGTGTCGAGGCGACATAGCCAAAGCGGCCCAAAAAAGCGTTTCATTTTGCAATATTTAGCAAAAATGCTTCGAACAAACAAGGAGAAAAAGCATGCAGCTGGAGACAACGGGAAAAGCATCAAGAATCGCCTTAATAATGGATCGCGGTCTGAATCCAGGTTCGCGGTTCTCTGTATACCATCGAGTAACAGAGCGTAGGCGAGAGCAGGCGGAAACATACAGGATCGATGAACGTCGCATATTTTACCAAATCCGGCCTTCTTCTGATCACCCACGACATCACGAACGTACCAAAAGAGTGACCCACAAAATGTGCGCCTGTCCTACGCAAAGCCATCCTTTTCTTAGCGCTAGGCAGTCAATATAGACTACCTGTGTTTCAGTCAGTGAGTTACTTGCCTTGTTCCCCTTGAAGATTCATGGCCGTTTAAATCAAGGGGAACGCGGCCTTCGCTTTGGATCGATAGTACGTACCAACGAACCTCACACCACCGGGTAGTGAGTATCTAGCCTTAATTTTCTTCGCATCCATGCCGGGACCAAATTGAAAGGCGTCAACATGCTCACTCTGATCGAATTTCGCCTTCAGCTGCGCTGTCCGTTGCCCAACTTCCGTCTTTCTCTTTGGATTGCATTAGATGATACTATTGATAAGCATGCCGAAACGATAGAGCACAAAAATTATTCCTTCTTCAAGATATCAATGTCAAAATCCATGGTTACGCCATAAGATTCTCGTTCTCCGCCACTGATTCTTGATAATATGCTCGAGCGCCCGCTACCTGTAAAGGGGTTGTTGGAAAAAACGTTCTTACAAAAAAGAAGAACTACCGCGTTACCATGTATAAAAATGAAGTCTTACAAGAATGGAAGATGTCCTATTTTTGCAGTTCGTGGTCCTTCTAGACCTGCTAGAATGAATAGATGACTATAGCATTCTCAAGAACAAAAACTGAACAAACTCCTCAATGCCTTGGCTTTCTTTGCTATGTTGCCGCGAAGCTTCATCGTCATCGCTACTCTCATCGAGATCTCCCGGTAAATAGCGACGACGCTCGTAAGTATCCCAGTTGTTAAATTCTGGATAGTGGTGAGCAGAAGTTAGAAGAGATAGAGATGTTGAATTCTGCATATTAATGAGGAGAAATTAGAAGAATGAATGAATGAATGAATGTACCCACTCTAGGGGTATAAGAGATAGAGATGTTGAATTCTGCATATTAATGAGGAGAAATTAGAAGAATGAATGAATGAATGAATGTACCCACTCTAGGGGTATAAGAGATAGAGATGTTGAATTCTGATAGGAGAAATTAGAGGAAAGCTCTCATCTGAAGAGTGACTAATATGTCAAGAAGAAGAAATTTGTAGTCAGTCTCTCTCTCCTCCACCATCACGGCCTTAACAGCATGTCCGCAACGCACGAGACAAATTCCCTAGGACTGGCGATATGGGCGTCGCTTATCCTACCACTGATTTGCGGAATGGTGATCACTTTTGTTAGAGAGATTGAACAAAGGTAAGTCAAGGCCTATTGTAACCACATAAAATTGAAAAGCAATATCCTATTGATTTAAAGGTATAATCCTTCTTTTCTTGAGGCCAGTACGCTGGAGACGTCAATCATCCTCGTAGATAGAATTTTGTGGTGACAACGAACTGCTGACACACTGATGTTGGTGACCACTGCCCACTCATTCTGATGTTGACAGGCCCTCCAGCATAAGAAAATATCCCTGCGTGGGTACATGCGGACAAGCTCCTCTAGGAAGGGGAAAATGTAGCCGACATATCCCTGCAAACCATGGCAAAAGACGATCGGGGTATTATCGTTTTCGTTCGGATCGATAGACTTGCTTAGAAGTAGAAGGATGTGAAAACAGAAGAGTCAGTCAGTCTCCTGTGGCGGTACCGCTCGGTACAACTATGTCAAATAGAAGTAGAAGTAAAGAGGACGTGCACATCACGGAGTCTACTCCTATTGATAGGATGACCTCATCAAGTTCTTTTGTGTTTGCTTAGGCTTGGGAGGTTCCGCTGGTGCCGGTCAAACTCAAACAAGATCAAAATCATAAATTTTCGTTTTCTCCTGATCGGTTGGCCTCGGTTCGACTCTCGGGTGCAACCTTTCGGATAAAGTAGGTCATCGTGCCAGCGCTGGATTCCTCAAAGCCGAAGACTTTGCTCAGCATCATGCTTCCCACAAATGGGAGAAAATACTGGAAAACCGCAGGACTTTAGACGCCGCTGCTCAAGTTTGGAATTCGATGTGGAGCTTTACTTCTTGGAGATTTTTGTTCGTAAAGGTAAAAACGCGCGCATCATGTACTTATTATCTATCATCACCATCCCTCTCCAGCTTTCCATCATAATAGAAGAACCAGCTACGCACGTCTACGTTCATTGGGTCCATGGTAAGCCGCATAGAAACGACATCCTCATTGTAGAATCCCGGTTCAAATTTGTGGCCCATCCAGTGCTCGCACCGTCTGACCAATTCCCGCGACACCAGCGTGTGCAGCGGCGTTGCATCCTTATCGCTGTTTAGGAAAGCCCAAGCTAACCACTCGCGCAGGTTTTCTTAGAGCTCACCCGTATCCATCTTGGAAGGCATCCCGGAGGCTTTTTTTTCTTGAAAAGCGAGCCTCCTCAGACAGAATGCCCCAGAAGATGGATAGGTGTAAGCCATAATTTTCTTCTCCGATATCCTCGATATTGACCATCTCCTCTTCGCCATCCTCTGGCGCGAGACCTACAGTCCACCTGTGCAATGACGCTGAGAACGATGGGCACACGGCGACTCGCACAGAATGCACAAAATTGTACATGCGCTTGACATGAAGAATGGCGCTTTTTCCATCTAGCCAGACCATCAAGGATAGGATAGAATAGGATAGGATGCCTCGGCTTCGCTGTCATGCATGATGACAACACCACTGCGGCAGATCGCCCCAAGCTATCATACAGTCTTTGTAAGGGGATAAGGGCAGCCAAGATGGTCTGAAAGATGAAAAACAATCATCCATACTTGAAGAGCTGTAACCCGTGTGTGGCGATACTCATTCTCATCCTCCCGTCCATGTTCATCTTGTTGAGCGAATATCGTGCCTCTTTCACGCCTTCACAGTAAGTGTTCGAGGCTAGATTTTGCTTATATCGAAACCAGCCTTGGAACTCCAACATCTTGAGCTCTGCTACCTGTTCTGCCGTGTCGATTGGTGCTTCATCCTAGAGGTTGGTCTTTGGTGTTCGCTTGTATCCCCGTTTGCTACGCCTGTCATCTCGCTTAAGAGCGGCAAAGCAAACGCTATAACAGGTGGAACACCACTTCAAACCCTTAATCATCGAAGGGCACGTGAGGATCCTCGAGCAGATCACGATCACCGCAGACTTGCGAGTTGTTACGCACATTCGCCTCTCCTTGAAGTTCTTAGAGCTGCAGCTGAATTTCGTCAACATTTCCTCCTGAAACTCAATTATAGCAATCATACGTACACGCATTCTTATTCTTCTCTAGAGTGAAATAGAAAATGACCAAGTTGTATTCTCCGAACAACCCTTCAAAAAAATACTAACTGGCCTTAATCATTAAGGTTGGTGCGGTCATCAACCATGACTAGACTGTTAAGCCTGCGCCCCCATCGCGTTGCCCGCGCCTGAACTGTGAAGCGGCTAGTACTCGCCTGAATCGTAAGGCTTCCCTCAGCAGATGTTTGTGGCGGCTCCCCGTCGGCCGTTTCCGTGCTTAGCGGTTGTAAGTTGACCTAGCTAGCCTGCTCGAATATCATCTATCCTCCGTATTTCGATTGAAAAAGTATTAATACAGACAGAGATGCTCCTCACAAAGACCACAGGTCAACTACTTCCAACGATCCCTAACATGGAGCTGCGTGTCAGATAATTATCAAGAGCATCCTCAGACGCGTCCATGTCACCGAGGAAGTCGCTGCTGCCTTCCTGAGAAATTTCTTCCGAAAACGATGCAGAGGGGAGCTCCTCAGACGAAAATTGCGCTCGCAAAGCCTGCTCCAGGCCCTTGCCGTCTAGCAGGTTAGAAATTACTAGTGGGATAATTGCGATGCTGTAAATAGATAAATAATTGTTCTCGAGTAGATACGTCAACTACACGGTTACGGTTTTAGACATGATAGAGGATAACAAAATCTATTTTTAAATACTTTCTTGGCAAGGTCAAGCAAAAAAAAAAGACAGTGTCGTGTACCATCAAAAAAATGTAGTTCTTGTGGCTCTAGTTTTACATCGAAGTACTGGTACAAGTCTTGCTCGTAATCGACCCTCGTCCCCGTGCGAGGAATGATCTTGACCCGAAAAAGCTACTGCGACTCGATGTCTGGGCGCGGAATAAGGCGGGCTTCTTACTTGATGAGTGTCCGGACGGATATTGTCCTGGAGACAAAACGTTATCTCGTCGAGGGGATCCTGGTTCCAAAACTATGTTACCTGCTTCGAGCGACTTTGCGTCGTGGAATCTTGGTGGACTCACAGGTTGTTCCGCTTCAACATCTCCCTTGACGCCACCTCCTCCAGAGCCCTTGTTCTTGTTCAACAGACCGGGACGCGACAAAAACCCACCGCCTCCCGCAGCGAGGTTGCCGCGACTGTTCATAGTACCTAGTCGAGAACCTCCTGCCACATTCAATGAAGGAGAGGCAGAGGATGACTGCACAAAGCTGCTGCTCGTGAAGGACGGTATCACTTTCAAGTGCCGAGTCTTGCGAGGTGCTTCCAGCGAAGCATCGGCGGCCTGTATGATCGAATCGATCTGCACGGCGTCCGAAATCGAACGTTTTGGCGAAGACGAACCAACCCGTGCTGACGCGGCCGTAAGTGACTTCAAATCCAGATCAACGTCAGAGTCACTAGATAGGAGAGCGCTCTTCAGAACATGTTGCCGGGTTGCGCCTTCATGTGTGCTGGCGCGTCTACAGGAGCCTGTTCTCGATAGTGGGCTACTTTCTTGGTCATTCTCTGGAGCCCTTGCGCTCTGAGCCTTGCTATCAGTAGTTTTTCCATGTGGGGTTTCGCTCTTGGTGCCCGCAAGGTCGTCGCTGCCCGAACTTGCTACGATTGGCGTAGTAGAGGAGGTTCCACTCTCGTCGTCCGGCGCTTGTGGCTGCATCTGCTCGGTGGCCCCCACTTGCTGTTCCACGCTCCCTGCGACTCGTGCTTCCCGCTGTGTCTCCAGCTGTACATGATGCCCTTGTAGCAAGAGCACACCTAAATGCACATCGTTGATGGCCTCCAATTCTTGTTCCAGTTGGAGCAGACTCTCCTCCATCGGAACCATGGGCATGTAAATCGATGAGCGGTTCATGCGCCACACCTGATATTTCTGGTAAATGAGGAATAGAACATCAAAAAACGTCCACGCGTTGAAGGCTGCAACTGCCAGCCTTTGCTGCTTCGGCGAGAAGCGCGCTTTTAGACACTGCGGCATTCGAAAGAGATACGAATCAAGAAAGCCGCCAAGCACATTCAAACCACCGATGTAAGCTCTCAAAGCGGCAGCAAGCACCTCCCTCCAAGACGTGAACAAGTGTGGTAGTGATCCATGGGAAAACCACTCCGCCAGAATCTGAAAATGTTTGTTGTACTGATCCTGGTATATAATTTCAACATGCTGTTGATTCCAAGAGTTGCGAAGATCACACCACAAGCTGTAGAATGTACAGAGTTAAAGCTACTGGCCAAGCAAAGAAAACAGACTACTTACACCAGTAAAAATGAAATACCTCTCGTATCTGGGGCCAATTCCGTGCCAGAGCAAGTAGCCGAAAGAGAAAAGAAAATCTTCCTTCTGGTATTGGCGTCACAGGCGTGTCGAGCGAAAACCGGTCGCCATAACCGTTATCATCATCATCTTCTATATCTGGCAGACTGGCGATAAAGTCCTTCAATGCAGTTCCAGTCAACTGCTTCTGTATAAGAGTTCAATGGACAAGATCATGAGCAAGATTATTGGAGCTGCAGCTTATAATTACTAAAAATACTACTTGTACTTTCATATTAACGCTCGGTTTTTTTACCACCCGCAAGTCGGATTCCCAATTCTTATGACCTATTGCTGACCAGGAACGGACAAAAATTGAAATCGTTGACTTTGACCACTTCATGCAGCACATGCGATTTCCTATTTCTGATTACTCATTCCTGACTAAAAAATTAGAATTACATCAGCAAGTAGAAGTATTCTGGTTCCAACACTACAGCTACACAGAGAGCGTGCATTCACTTGCGTTCTTAAGTGTTTCCCCCAAAGCCTGCTTGCCCAGCGTGATCTCATTCACCAGTACGTTGAAAAGTCGTCCTGCTCCGCTTCCCCCTAAAGCTTGCTGTATGCGACCGCGGTTGCGGAGCCACTTTGTGAGCCAATACAAAACGGAAATGTACGGCGTCAATTTCAACGGAGCAATAAGCACTATCTTCTCTGTTAGAGCAGATGAAGCGTATCCTTTAGTTCAGTGGAACGAAACACGAGAAAGTCCTGATCATGTTGAATGTTATCATGCGACCACTTATGGAACCAAAAACTTTACTCCAAATTGCTCGCGAAGTTTCAAATTTTCTGAGTTGAGTAAGGATTTCGGTTCGATACCACTAGGAGTACTGAGTCTGTCTGAGTGACACACACTTATGCCATAAAACAAGAACCGTGAGGATCTTGTTCCAGATGCCTTGCGTCGGGATCGAACTTCGGCACAAGGCGATCCGGACCGGTCGCTGGTGCTTACTCGGTGACCTCGGTCGCAAGGAAGGCGTGAACGGTACTATCTTAGAGAAGTTCACTTTTATTCATCACCTGTACAGAAACACTATTCAAGAACCGCGCACGCAAGAGCGACGATCGTAACCACGAAAACTTAATCACGGTTTATCATGTTGCTTAGATCTGCCTTGTTCACTAGAGGCCAGCATCATCTTCTTCACGCATCATGTTTTCTAACACCACTCGTAAGTCAACTTATGTGTGGTTCTAGGATAAGACCTGTTCTACGGAGGTAGGCGTGAACGGTAATATCTCAGATAGAGTTGACTTTTATTCATCATCTCGCTCCATTTCCCTAAAAAATACAAGGGAGAAGGGTACCAAGATGGATGCCGACAAAGAGCATCTTAGATGGATATAAAAGCTGACCATAACTACAGGTACATTAGTCTCCTCATCCGCCGTCTCCACCTTAGCCTGCACTTCTCTGGCTCGTGCGCGACTAAAACGCGTTTCCTTCGCTCGTGCTACTTCGGTCGAGCCAGAGGGCTGCCCATTCGTCTCGTCCTGAACATCTTTCTTTCCAGCAGGTGCTGCTGCGGAAGCAGGACCTAAAGCAGCTGCGTCTGCTGTAGATGTCATGGTCGGTGCCGGTGGTAGCTTCGAGCCTACGAGCCTAGCAGCGACGTCTCAAAACTGATTGGATCAATATCGTTGATGTGGATTATTTCTTCAATCTCGTTGCAAGAATACGAGCAACCACAAGGTAGCTACAGCGTAACCGGCCCAGAATGATATAAGGTTTGGTCGTCTTTGGTCGTTTCACAGCAGTGAGCTTCAATCAATAAGCGTAATATTGTAGTTTAGTGGTCTCTCGGTGTTGTCTCTCATCAAGAAACCGACTACAAGGTCAGTCCGGTGTATTCGTAGCAGCGGGCAGGAGAACAGAAACGGGCCGGATATTTTGTAACAGTAAAAAATTACTAGTGCAGGTTTTTTAGCTAAGCTAATGCAGGTTGACCGAAGTCGTTCAAGTTTTGACCGGAGTCGTTCAGGTTCGTACTTTTTCCCTGTCGGGATGATTTACATGAAACTCTATATCTCGGCTGCCATTTCTCCTGCACACATAGACAGCTAACGACGTCAAGCGCAGATATATATATCAACATTTATCGTAATACTAGATCTATGAAGTAACGATATTCCTCCTTCTAGCAGTGAAAAAATTACATTCTTCACTGTTCCGTTGTTCTTCATACTAATAATCTTCTAGTTCTTTTTCTTCTTCTCTCATCTATCTCTTAGATAGAATCTTCTCGAAATGCAGGAATCTGCTTTGCCAGCGCATCGGCGATCTCCTTTCCATCCTTACGCTTCAAGAAAGCCGCACGGTTCTTATGCAAGGAGACGCGCTGCTTCACAATTTTAACAGCTTCGCTATGCTTGGCAATCACAGTTCCAGTGAGAGATAGGGAGCCAGTGCAGTCAGTTGCAAGAAGCGCCTGCACCTTAGCACGCTCAGCAGCAGTGACCAAACGACGATCCATAGTGTATTTGGCTGCCACCTTCACAGGCGTTTCTCCTTCCTTCTGAGATGCAACCTGATACGACTTCAGCAGCGGATCCATCTTTTCAACCAGATTCGCGCACAAGGCAGGATTCTCAAACAGCGCAGAGAGGGTCCATGTCAGCATACAAAATGCAGCGCTCATCACAATGCGATCGCCCGATTCCATTTTCGCGAGACCCTGTTGCGCAAAAAACTGAACTCCACGGGAAGAAGCAGAACTCTGCCCGGTTTTCGCTCCGCTTGTCAGACTCTTGAAATGCGTAAGTGCAATGTCATCAGAGAGGCTTTCACGCTCTAAATTAGAACAATGAATCTGCGCGACCGACGCTGACAGTAGAAAGGCAGCACCATAATTGTTTGCATCTCCTCCAGCAGCTGTGCATGCCTGAGCAAATGATGCTGCCGCTGGAAGAGCCAACAGTTGATCAAAACCCATCACGCTGTATGGAGCGACCACTTGATCACCAGTGGTTGGAGTGCTGAGTTTCAAGATGAAAGCGCGACGCGCTGCCATGAGGGCATCATCAGCGGAGGCATCATCAGTCCAGGTAATCTTGATTAGCCCGGGCACATTTCCTTCTCCACGGCTTTTCTTGAACTCCGAGCGAATCACAAGCATGATCAAACTGACACATTTGCTAGCATCCAATTGGAGCAAGGGAAGATCCGACAAGGCGACAAACGCCTGCTCTGCGGGAGTGGTCCCCTTGACAGCAGAGAGCGTGCCGCCGCCATATTGCGTCTTCGATACCAGCACGTTGCTCATCTTTCAGGTGATGTAGCTATCGTGTGTACAGAGTAGGAGAAGTAGATAGTCTGAGTTTCGTGAAAGTCGTTGATTTGGGTCTTGAGCGGGAAAGTGTGAAAATCATGCAAGTAAAAATAGGCCAATAATTTATACCAGTAACACCATAGAAATCAGGAAACTCATCGAGATGCATCAATTCATTTTTTCACGATTTTAAACAGCACCAGGAACAAGAAAAAGCAAAGGAATCCAATACTTTTCGAAAGATTGCCGGGGCGTGATCATCGATTTTTTATTTGGATAGAAACACGAGCAGAAACCAGAAGCATGCAGATTTTTATTTTGAACATTAAAGCACCAGGGGCATGATCGTCATCATCATATTTTTGAACTTCTAACCTTTACCATAGTAGTACCATCATCGGGAGATTTTTAAGATTGTAATTTTTTAGAACTTAAGGCATTCAAAACGCGGAAGGATCGGATTGGAAGCGAGACAGGATTTAGATCGCAAGACTCTATTACGTGCCCCATGCCTGTCGAGCTTCCAACCACGACCACAACCCGAAATAAATACTACAACGACCATAGATAAAAATAGGATGCATATGAAGGTAAAAATAAACAACGAGAAGACGAGAGCGATCGATTTATAAATATGCAGGAGAATGGTGCAAATGTGTGAAACTAAGATATATCGAATAAAAGACGGAAGAACGGAGGTAAAAATAATTTGACGCATGTAAATAGAACGAAAGATAAATCAAGCGGATATGTAACCTAATGCCCCTGGTGCTATAAAAATGAACAAATTTTATATATCCCCAAAATCCAGGCCCTCCTGATCCTGGTATTCTGGCGGGATACTTTCTTCTTCTGCTGCTTCTTCCTCTTCTTGCTCTCCTCCTTGTTGCTCTCCTCCTTGCTCGGCTGGTGGCGGTGGTGGTACTAGTGGCCCTTTTCCCGCCGGCTTCCCTTCGCCTTCCTTTCCTTTGCCTTTCTCTCCTTTTCCGCCTAGCTTACCCTTGTCGCCTTTGGCTGCGTCCTTGCCGCTGTCTCCTTTGGTTGCGTCCTTACCCTTGTCACCTTTGGCTTTGCTGTAGCTCTTGTCGCCTTTGCTGTTTTTCCTCTTGTCGTTCCCCTTCTTGACTCCCTTGACGGTGCTGCTACTGCTGCTGCTGGAGGCTGGTTCCTGGTAAGGGTGCCAGCGTCGGTTTTGACCGTAGAACGGACTAGGCGACAAGATGACCGCGGTTTTGTTCTCCTCACGGGGCAAATCGCGCCCACCAGTTATCCGCAAGAGCATACGATGGAAGAACATGGCCCAGCCACCCTCTTTGTGGACGAGAGCCCCATAATCCCAGAATAACGTCTTCACGGTGCCAACAGCTTTGTCGATTTCGCGGTGGTAGTGGTCAGATGCTGAATTGATATTCGCATCATACCAGGCAGTCCACACGGTTTCGACCTGAGCGACGTGACAGGCAATAAGGAGACCATAGGCCTGCGCAAATTGAGTGTCCGTCGTCACAGCCCTGAGGCATCGGATTTGCTGAGCGGCAATGTCGTTAAAGATCTCGGTCTTTACTGTTGCCGACTCTGGAAGGGTCGGATACGGAGGACGCACCGCAGAGCAGACAGATCCTCTTTTTGCGATGGCAATCATCGTCTGCACCCATTCGGGCCCACTTCTGTGAGTTTGCGCCGGGGGAGCCAGGGAACTACTAGAAGCCGGCATTTTGTTGGATGTCAGTTTTTTATCTTTATCCTAAGTATATTCTAATATGCGTGTCGTGGTAGAATAATTAGTGGTAATAGTGTACAAAATATCCGGCAGGAGAACACAAGTTCGAACACGTGTAGATAGTCAGACGAAGAACACAGATTACCAGGGTAAAAGGGAGGAAATGACACACAGGAACCTGTTTAAGCCTTTGGAGAGAGACGAGCTCACACAAGCACCAGTGGCACCATATGCATGCGACGGAAATCTAAGAAGAAATATAGCACAAAAGACTAGCAGACCATCCTAAAAGAACTCAAGATCCAGAAGATAGCGGCGTCGGTATGGGGATTCGCATTCTCCTGAAGATCATCAGAACCATTTAGAAACGAAAAGAAACTGACTACCAAGATCAGATAAGTACTTACGAACAACGATACGAAAAGAGACCTTCAGAAACTCAAGCTTGACGCATGCAGATATGAGACGAAACGAAGTGACGTCGCCAAACCTAGTAGGTACCGCCCACCTATATAGAGTCTAAAGGGTCTGAGTATAGGCTTCTGATCCAGTCTAGGAATCGGACAACCGTCACGGGGGTGATTGAAATGAATGAACGATGGTAGGCCCTGCAGAACATTGATATCAGGCAGCTCTACCAGTTACTTACACGTAGACAAGTCAAATTGATTTCAGAGATAGCGAGACTTACTCTCAGAGATAATTGAACTTACTTTCAGAGCAGTTCTAACCCCCCCTTCACATTCCAGAAGTCATCAGTTAAGAGTGCGTCAGTGGCACAAGGAAGACCACGAGCCTCATCGGCGGTGGCAGCCCGGAGTAGTTCTTTAAGAAACTGCGTACTGACCTCCGGACAACATCGCAGATTGTTCCATCGCGGATAAGCGATCTGCTGCCAGATTCCAGGCCAGACACTGACGCCAAGATATGCCCGAACAGGAACGAGAACGAGGTCTCCGGCTTTGATAGCGCACCATGTACCGAAGT